ATAATCAAAAAAACAGATCTGTAAACATCTAGAAACAAATGAAGTTATAACTAGTAGTCAGTGTGGGTTTCTTAAAAACAGATCATGCCAAACCAATCTTATTTCATTCTTGTACAGAGTGATAAATTAGTAGACCAAGAAAATGCTGTGGACATAGTATATTTAGACTTCAGCAAGGCATTTGACAAAGTAGACCACAACCTACTTCTTGGTAAACTAGAAAAATATGGGATAGACAGCATCACCACCAGATGTATCTTTAAACTAGCTGACAAACCATACTCAGTGAGTCAACCTTAATGATACTATATCTACATGGAAGGAAGGAAGCAGTGGGGTAGCACAAGGTTCCATCTTAGGCCAAGTACTCTTCATTATCTTAATAAATGACTTAGATGAGGGAATAAAAGGGGAACTCATCAAGTTTGCAGATGACACTAAGTTGGCAGGAAGAGCCAACACCCCCAGAAGACAAGCTAAAGTTCTTCATAGACTTGAATGATGAGCTCTATCCAACAATATGAAATTTAATGTGGAGAAAAGCAAGGATTTACACCTAGGCAGGAAAAACCAAAGGTAGAAGTACAGATTAGGTGAAACCTGGCTCAAGAATAGCAACTGTGAGAGGGACCTTGGAATCCTCATGGACGATCAATTAAACATGAGACAGCCGTGTGCGGCAGCAGACAAAAATGGAAACACAATCCTTGATTGTATAAACAATCATAAAATCAAAATCCCATGAAGTATTAGTACCACTTTATAAAGCCTTAGTAAGATGACACCTGGAATATTGCATCCAGTTTTGGTCACATTACAAAAAAGATATTGAAATTTTGGAAAAAAGTGCAAAGAAGAGCCACTAAGACGATTAAAAGCCTGGAGAGAAAAACATATGAAGAACGGTTGCAAGAGTTGGGCATGGCCAGTCTAGAAAAAAGAAGGACTAGGGGGGGATATGATAGCAGTATTCCAGTATTTGAGGAGCTGCCACAAAGAAGGGGTGGGGGTCAACCTATTTTCCAAAGCACCTGAAGGCAAGACGAGAAACCATGGATGGAAACTAATCAAGGAGAGAAGCAACCTGGAATTAAGGAGAAACTTCCTAACAGTGAGGACAATTAACCAGTGGAGCAGAAGTTGTGGATGCTCCGACCCTGGAGATTTTTAAGAAGAGACTGGACAGCCATTTGTCTGGGATGGTCTAGAGTCTCCTGCTTGAGCAGGGGGTTGGTCTAGAAGACCTCAAAGGTCCCTTCCAGCTCTATTCTGATTGACTGAAGGCCCATTTGGCTGTAGTCACATTTTCTCCATTTCAGGGTTCCTTCTCCCTCCTAATCTCAGTAAGTTCTTTAAATTCTCTCAATAAATGTGAGGCTCAGCCCAGCCAAAATTGTGCCCTTGGATATGTTGTAATCTCCATGGGAGATGAATGCTTGTCTTACTCTCAGCTTCAACACAGAAGAAGGCTACCCTTTCTTGCTCTTCAAAGTCCTAAAAGTCTTGGTAGGACACTACCTCTGTTCCCTTCCAAGTTGAAATTGAGGATGCTGGATGGACCACAAAGCGACTCACCTGTGCTGGTTGACCTACCCTCAGAAGACCTCAGCTGTGGCAGAAGAAGAGTCATCTTCTCCCCAGTTCTCCCACAATTGGCTTTGGACACAAAGAGATGAGAGGTGGCTCAGCCAAAACTCTGCCCACAGAGCAGGAAGGGAGATTTTTAAAAGCTCAGTCTCACAACAGAAGCAACACTCCTGGTTCCTGCATTGTCTGTGACAGGTGGTAACTCATGGGGGGAAATGTGCCTTGGTGTGCAGGCCTTGAGCATATTCCTGCAGGGAGTAGAGCTGAGAGGAGACTCAGCCATGACCCTCTAGGGGGAAACTCACAGCTGGGGCTTGTTAGCTGGCACAGGGTTCATTAAGTTGTATCAGGGCTGGGGGAGACAGTGGAAGAAAGAGAGCAAAACGTTCTACCTTGAAATGCAGCTAGTCAGGAAGAGAAATCAGAATTCAGCTCTCACTGTAGTTTGTAGCTGGTGTTCCAGAAATGAATCCATTTTATCCATTACATAAAATGTAATGTTTAAATCCTCCCTCCCTCCCTCCACAACAAAACCAGCAAGGGCCATTGTCTTCTTGCTAAGGCTCAAAGTTCAGTGCCTGAATGTATAATGTATAATTTTGATTAGTGTTATATATTATATTAACCAAGCAGCATAAAAGACAACACCTGACTCCATAAAAAAAGAAAAGAAGGAAACCAGAGAAAGATGTTGGTGCACGTGAAATCCTCACAACTTTCACCTGGTCAGGGAGACGAGCATAACCCTCCATTCTTGGAGCCAAAGATGATCCCCTATGAGATTCAACATAGGAGGACAACATGACCCAACTCGGTGCTTCTCTCTTGTCTCTGTTCCCAAAACACAACGACCTGTTTTACATGGGTAACTTCTGAGGTGGTCATCCAAGAGTCCACTGTTAGTTATCCCAGAATCCCAGTGGCCATTTCCCCCATCCCACTGATGGGTTTATCATCAACTCCCAGGAAAACCTCAACCCTGAATGGAACGATGAATTTCGCTTAACTACGACTTCTGTCCTTTCAAGTCTTGCTGGGATGTCTCATTGTGCTGCTCCTGAGAGCAGTAGGGTGTTCCTGGGAAGGATGAGCAAAGGATGCTGGGAGTGTATGTATCCCACCTACCCAACTAACTTGTTTTGGGGACAGGAAAGTGGTGCTGAGATCCAGCAGATTCCCAACACTCCAATTGAAGGGAAATGAACATGCAAGAAAGCATCGTAGCATCAATAGATGTTCTTGAGCTTCAAACCTCAACAATTTTCTGGCTTTGCACAATAAACATGCTGGGCAGATTTTATTTGAGCTTCTGGCCCATCAGAAGGAGCAAAATCCAGGCTACAGAAAGCATCCATTAAACCAGGGGTCTCCAACCTTGGCAACTTTAAGATGTGTAGACTTCAACTCCCAAGTCCACAAGTCATAAAATTGCCAGGGTTGGAGACCCCTGCATTAAAGAAAGGGGCATAGAGCAGAGATTACAGAAGGGAAGGGCTTGGTTGCTTCTCCAGGCTTCATCAGGTGCTTTTCTCACTCCGGAGCAAAAGAAATTTGCACTAAAACCTGCACTGGTGGATTTATGTTGGGGGGGGGAGGGCAGAGGGAGAGAGAATTTGCTTTGCTTCAGGATTTCTGGTCCTGCTTAACAACCTGGAAGAAACTTGTTTGCATCACTACATTTGGAATACAATGAAGGCACACAACTTGACTTCTGGGGGTTAATCAGATTGACCGATTGATAACCGTGTTCCCTAATCTTTCGAGGTTGGTGGACCAGAGAGGATGGCGATGGCTGCAGGGGTGGGGAGAGAGGGTGTGGTTTCATGCACACACATCACTTTCCGAAATACAGCTTTGCACGCCCGCACTTGCACACTCACCTACCACTTCTGTGGCTGGCTCCGAATGCATGGCGGCCCCACACCGGGCTGTGGACCGAGAGTTGGGGACCCCTATATGGAGTCTGTTTGGCACCACTGTCCACTCTGAAGCCAAGGATGACCCTTAAGGGCTGGTACCACCTTCTGGTCCCCACACTCACCCCCACTGCCTGTCATCAGAGCTCGGAGGCCCCAGATTTCACCTCTTTCTGCTGAATGCCAAGTGATTCTTCAATAAACTCCCTCACCTATGAGAGGGGAGAGAGCCATCATGGCCTATTGACAGAAGGACTCGCTTCCTTCTTCCTTCTCCTCTTCTTCTTCCTTGTTTTCCTTCCAAGGGGAAGAAGGCAACTTTTGGCTTGTGGCACAGAGTGTCTATCCTTTGTGGTGCTCTCTCGATCGATTGTTAACCTGCCAAAGACCAACAAAACTGCTGCTCTGGGAGTTTTGGGGATCCCTGTTAAGAGCCCTGAGATCCTGCAGACATGGCACCTGGGTTGTCTCTCTTCAAGGAATTTATTTGGGCACCAGCAAACATTGTCCCATAGCAACTAAATTGAATTGAAATATGAGAAAAAAATCTCTCAGGGGGTAAGATCTGTTTAACAGTAGAAGACTCACCCTCTGAAGGTGGTGGGTTCTCCATCTTGCAGGTTGGCCAGAGGAGGCTCCAGAGATGGTGGAACTGATTTTCCTACATCTTGCAGAGGATGGAGCAGGTGAGTCCCACCAACTACATAAGGTGATGACCCTGTGATCCTGTGATCCAGGGTGAAGGTTCAAGGGCAGCCAGCCCAAAGTCCCTCAGAAGGGAAGTGGTACAACATGCTGGGTTACAATGGCTCCTCTCCCTTCATCTCTTGAACATTTCATCACCAAGTTGATCCCAGGGGAGAGATCCATGCAGGGGACAGAGCAGCATCTGGCTGAGAGATCGCACTGGGCCAAAGACTCAAAGGTCACAGCATATTTGGCCAAGAGAGAAATAGGACATGGTCACCCAAGCAAGAAACACCTTCTACTTTCGAAGCAGTTCATCCTTGACAGGAAGTGAATGTGCTCCCTCAGAACTTTACAAGAAAGTTTGAAATGGGCCACAACCCGTTCAGAACCAGGCCATGAAAGCAGCAGATGAGCAAGCATGCACACAAAGCTACATTTATGAGCATGATGTGCATGTGAAATCATCCCCTCTTCCCTCACCTCTGCAGCCACTGCCACCTCCTCTAGTCCACCAAGCGAGAAAGCCTGGGGAACACTGTTATCAATCAATCAATCAATCTGATTAACATCCAGGAGTAAATGTTCTGTGCCCTTATCATGTCCCAAATTTAGTGTGCAAACAAGCTTCTTCCAGATTGTTAATCAGGAGCAGAAATCCTGAAGCAAAGCAAATTCTCTCTCCTTCTGCGCTCCCCCCCACCCCCGCAACAGAAATCCACCCCCTTCCTTGTCTATAAATGCCTCCATTCTCTTTGCTGGAGGGAAGCCTGGAGTTGCCACTGAGCAGACTTGCTACCTGTGGAGGCAAAGAGACAAGTGAGTACGGCTCTCCCACCTGTGAACACCTGACAGGTGAGGCCCCTGCACCAGTTCGCTCTGCGTCTCTTTCTCCATCTGAAGGGACCTCTTGCAGGGGGCTGCACCTGATGATCAGGTTCCAGCAGGGGATCTGCAGGAGTCAGGGAGCAAGGGGTCTCTGGGGGGATCTCTGGGGAAGAGAAAGAGATGGACGGGAGAGACTTTCCAGGGGAGGCCCCTTCTGCCCTTTACGGAGCAATGTGTGATCCACTGTGACCCACCAAGGCTGCTGGATGACCAAGGAGGGAGAAATTATGTCCAGCTGGGCAAGTGAAAAAGTGGAAACCAAAGTTTGGGGTTCCCAGCTTGGTCACAGGTTGGATGTTGGATCGCCCTTCCTGAAGAGTCCCTCCCAAGGTCCTTGCTCCCCCTTCTTCTACTCTACTCGTTGCTCTTCTCTGCAGGAGAGAAGACCATGGGGCAATTCCTCTTTGTGACCCTGGGCTTGCTGGTCGTGGCCTTCTCCCTAACTGGTGAGTTCCAACGGGGTCTCTCCTGTCTAGAGACAGCTCTTGCATCCTCCTCCACCCCCACCACTTCCTGCTCTCCTGGCCATCTTCTCATTGGGCTTCCTCTCTTCCCACACAGGAGCCCAAAAATCCTGTCTCGAAGGATGGTACTCAAGAAATCAGCGTTGCAACAAGCTCTTCGAGGAACAAAAGAACTGGAATGATGCCAAGGTTAGAAGTGCTTGTAGGCCTGTGAATCTCCTAGCCCAGGCAGAGGAGAAGACTAGGCAGAGCCTTGAACAGCCCACAAGTCCCTCTGACTGGGCTGAAGTGCAGGGCCACTAGGCTGTGTGCATGAAAAGGTAGCAAGGACCATTATCTTAGGACAGTCTGAAATACAAGTATTCTCTGATGATATACTGGTCTGGGCTTTCATGGCCGGCATCTGTTGGGCAGTGCTGAGCCTGAAGGTTGAGTGACCATAATCTAGACAACAGATTTCCTGATGTTTCATTGGCAACTCTGGTGGCATCTTCAAACCTCCTTGCCTCTGAAGTGATGGGAATCCGAGAGTTGACCTCCTGAGTCTAGATCAGGAATTTATTTATTTATTTATTTATTTATTTATTTATTTATTTATTTATTTATTTATTTATTTATTTATTTATTTATTTATTTTATTTGTCAAACTTGTATAAGATAACAGATATAAATATAAACATGATTATGAATACAGAAAATTGATACGAATAAATGGGGACAGTAGGACACTGACAGTGAGCGCTCAATTGCTCAAGAGCTGCAGAATCTACCAAAAGTACACATATAGACTGGGTGAAACCAGGTTTAATAGCAGGAACTGTAAGAGGGATCTCGGAGCCTTAGTGACAGCCAATTAAGTATGAGCCAGCCGTGTGCAGCGGCAGCTAAAAAAGCCAATGCAATCCTAAATTGCATTAACAGAGGGATTCAATCAAGATCAAGGGAGGTACTAATAAATACCTCTATAAAGCTAGCACTCTATAAAGTCCTAATAAGACCACACCTAGAGTACTGCATCCAGTTTTGGTATAAAAAAAGATGTGGAGGCTCTAGAAAGAGTGCAGAGAAGAGCAACCAGGATGATGAGGGGACTGGAGGCTCAAACATACGATGAACAGTTGCAGGAACTGGGCCTGCTTAGTCTAGTAAAGAGAAGGACTAGGTGAGACATGATAGCAATCTTCCAATATTTGAGGGGCTGCCAGAGAGAGGAGGGGGTCAAGCTGTTTTCCAAAGCACCTGAAGGCCAGACAAGGAATAATGGGTGGAAACTGATCCAGGAGAGATTCAACCTGGAAATAAGGAGAAATTTCCTGACAGTGAGAACAATCAACCCATGGAACAGAAGTTCCCTTTGGAAGTTGTGAGAGCTTCATCACTGGAGGCTTTCAAGAAGAGACTGGATTGCCATCTGTCTGAAATGATGTATGGTCTCCTGCATTGGTGGGGGGGTTGGACTAGATGACCTACAGGGTCCCTTCCAACTCTGTTATTCCATTAAGAGCATCTGAGGGGAGTCAACACAGTCAAGACATGGAATCAGATTCCCTGGCTCTTTTCTCGCTTTCACAAACTAACACCCACAAGCACATTTGCCTTTCTCCCTTGTCGCTTTATCTCAGGCATTCTGCCAGAAACAAAACTCAGGCTGCCACCTCGCCTCCATACAAAGCACAACACAGAGAGATGACATGGCCGATTATGTCGCAGGGAATCTCAAAAGTAGTCAAAGTGTCTGGATTGGACTGCATGATCCCAGTAAAGTAGGTCTCTTTCTGTTGCTAATGTTCACAAATCCATATTTACCATTTATTTGAGGCTTTTAGAAGGATCGTCCAATGGGAGGTCGGGATCTCTCTGATAAAAACTCTCACCTTGGACAAAACCTCTGAAAAATGTTATTTACTCCAATGCTGTCTGTCATTTCTCCCACCGACCATTCAGGCCCACTTGGAGAACTGACTGGTATGTTTAAAGCCAAAATGGGCCCAATTCTCTTCTGACCCTCCCCCCCCCATCTCAGGATCCAGGCCATCTCACACACTCAGCTCCTCCTTCCGTCTGCCTTCCTCTTTATGGCCCATTGAATGGCCTCTGAAGCTTCTTCAAACTCTGGTGGGTCATTAATTTGGGGACTGCGAGTCCCAAACCTGGGAGGATTGTTCTTTCTTCCCCTTCATTTATTTTGTGCAGAAATTGCTCATTTCTCTTACCAACAGAACATCTTGTGCTCTGTTGCATTTTCAGTTCGTGAAAGTTGCTTGATTGTAGAGAAAAGAGGACATTTCCTTGGAATTGAGCTCAGTTCCTTGTGACTTTGTGAATACAAGTGTTTTTTTTTTCTTTTCTTTTCTTTCTTTCTTTCTTTCTTTCTTTTTTGTGGCAACAACATAGTTGTCAGGGCAAGAAATCAGGAACCAAGGTTGCTCAAATGAGTACAAGTTTAATCCATGCTAGCCCTCTACAAGAATCTGAACAGTCACCATGTGTAACTCTCCTCAGCTGCTCCAGATCAACCGAGATTGAGGGGAGGGAGGGAGGGAGAGAGAGAGACTCTTAAAACCTGACAACTTTCCTTTCTGATCTGGACCCTGAAGAGCCGGAGCCTCTTCCGCAGTTGGCTAACATGGCTTCCCTGTCATTACAGAAAAGTGAATGGGAGTGGATAAACAAATCCAGATTCTACTACCTAGCCTGGGCCGATGATAAACCCGAACCCTCGAAGAACAACAAATTCTGTGCTAAGCTCGAGAAAGAAACAAGTAAGCCAAGGTGTTGGGGAAGCAACTGTGGTGCAATTCCAGCAAGGATGAGGATCTTGGAGCCCTGGCAACTGATGGTCTTACCTCAGCGGTGAAATGCTACCAGTTAGGGCCGGTTCGCCCGAACTGGTAGTAATTGCTACCGTTCGCCCGAACCGGTAGTAAAAAAAAATGCTTTAAAAAGTTTTTTTAAAAAAAGTTCCAAAGATCAGCTGGGCGACAATCAGCTGTGTGACAATTGGCAGAGGGCAATGTCGGAACTTTTTTTATTTTATTTTTTAGCATTTTTTTAACTATCAATCAGCTGTGAGAAAATCAGCTGTGCCAAGGTCTGTGAGGTTCCTGCTTGTTGCAGGGGCCATTTTGTGTGAAGTCCTGCTGCTTTTACATTATGTGTGAGTCAGTTGTGCAGCCACATCCACCTGGTCACATGACCACCAAACCACACCCACCCAGTCACATGATCACCAAGCCACGCCCACAGGTCCAGTAGGGAAAATTTTTGAATTTCACCATTGCCTTACCTTATTTATTTATTTAAAACACTTACATAGCAAACCCTACTTTATAACCTACTCCCAACAAAAGTGGGAGTGGTTATACCAAAAAAATGGTACAGAAACTGTAGTATAAATCAAACAAAAACAAAGACCTGACACCGAATCAGATTTCTGATTTGAAATCAGCCAATATTCTCCCAGCCTTTTGGGGGAAAAGCTACACCCTCCAAGGCTAAAAGGGTGGGGCTTGGTTGAACTTCAGAGGGAAGAGTTCTCCATGGGGCAGGGGGGGTTGCTGAAAGGAAGGCTCACTTCCTAGCTCCCATAAGGTGGTAATGCTGAAAAGAAGGCACTAGGAGAACACCCAATTTACCTGGGTAGGATGGGTAGATTCGCTTAGGGAGAGGGGGCCCCCAGATAATCAGCGCAAGGCTTTAAGGCTAAGGACCAGCACTTTGAATTGCGTTCGGAAAGAAATGTGAAGCCATTGCAGCTTTCCCAACAGAGATCTTAGGGAGGCAAACCTAGAAGCCACCGTTGCCGTACATGCAGCTTTATCTTGGTTCAGAGAATGTTTCCAGGTGGACCTCAAGGGCAGCCCCATCTATAGCACATTGCGGCAACCAAGGCACAAGTTACTGTGAGCAAGGCCTCAAGTGAGCAATTAGTTCATTAAATGAATTTGTTAAAAGGATCCCCTAGCTATAGCTGACCCCTTACTCCTCAAGCAGGAGCCATGACCCCCAAATCATGCACTAGCTCATTGTGTCACCTGCACAATGTCAAAGATGAAGTATCAACCAGTTCTGGGGGGGTGGAGGCAGAAATCCAGAGCCACTTTGTCTTTGTAGGGTTGAGTTGAAGCTGGTTCCTCCCCATCCAGACCCTTATATCCTCCATACGCTCAGCCAGCACCTCCATTGCATCACCTGTCTGGCTAGGGGTGGTGATATATAATTGGGTGTTGCCAGCATAGTGGTGATACCAAACCGCAAACCTACAAATGGCCTCTCCTAGTCGTTTCATGTAGATGTTGGAGGAGTGGTGAAAGGCTCAAACCCAACTCCCACCCCACACTACACCTCACCTCTCCTACCTAACTGTCTGGAACCAGCCATGAGGTAGGAGGTAACCCATCCACAATCCCTGAAGCAGGTCCAGAGTGGACAGCAGTTATGCAAGTTAAGAAAAGAGGAAATGCCCCTCTCACAAAGGCAGTGCCACCAACTCTCACAAAAAGACATTAATCACCTCTTGCACCCAACCACATGGCACCTCCCAGGAGGCCTTAACAAACCAAGAGGGACAAGAGTCCCTCACAGAGGTTGCCGAGCTCACAGACACAAGGATCCTGCCCACTTCTTGAAACACAAGTGGTCTGAACTCCACCAGGTAGCAAGGCTCAAACAGGTCTCCCTCACCTCCAAAGGGCCTGCCAGCCAGAGTTCAACTCCAAGGCAAGGCAAGTGATTTTATCTCACTGAGGTCAAGAACGTTCCTCATAGTGACTTTGAAAGGGCTGCCCCGGTTCTTGCTTACCTGAAGATGCAGAAGGGTGGATAAATCATTAGTGTTGCTGCTCTTGTCATCACAACATAGAACCACATATGGGCTCTTACATGCATCTGTCTGGCCTCACTCTTTGCCTTCCTCCAGTTCTGCTCCATCCGACTCTTATGTCGCTTCATCCCTCTGAGCTGCTTGGTGAACATGGTTTATCCCTTGGCTCAGTGAGCTGTCACAGTCCACATTCTTTTACAGCCAAGGGAACACAAAATGCCCATGGGACACACCATTAAAAATGGAAGCCATCATTCCTTCATGAATTGCAGGTGTTTATGAAAATAATTACAGGACCAGCAGCTCATCATAAAACAAACAAGCTCCATCTTAACCTGCTTCTGAAAGGCTGTCACTCTCACAGGAGACCCCGGTTTATGTTCTTTCCTGCTTAAATATCCATCAATCTTCTTCCCCAGAGTTCCCCAATCTTTCTGGCTCTGTGGACCAGCAAGTGGGGGGAAGGGAGGGGAGGGTTCTGTGCTGGTTCCATGCTGGCAAATGGAGTGTGTGCAGACATGTTCGACCTCATGCAAGTGTGGATGTGTGCCTGTGCTTGTCTCCCACTTCCACTGCCCGGTTCTGAATCTCTCTTCGCCCACTAGTGGGCCAGTGCCCTGGTATTGGGGACCCCTGCCTACGCCATCATAGTCAGACAAATCTCAGCCACTAAAAGACTAGAGAAGAGAAAAGTTGACAGATGCCCCACACACTTCAAAACCAAATACAAGAACAGCCTAAAAACCCCAGACAAAATTAACTTGGTGGTTAGCTACGTTATCTGGGTTGCCACAACATGCTGAGCCCTAAGACAGATGAGGTTCTCCACCTGTGGTGTCCTCATGATCTCCTAAGAATGAGGGAGAAGCCATCAAAATGATCTTTTGGGACTATGAAGGAGTCACTTCAAAGGGGGAATCAAATCTTTCTTTTTCCTGCCCAGAATATTTCCAATGGAGTGATTCGAACTGCGAGGAGCTGCATCCATTTCTCTGCCAATGCTGATAGCTCCTTTTCCTGCTCCACAGTGATGAAACCTGGAGAAACAAGGAAGCCCCCCTGACTGCCAAAATCTCCCCAATGCACCCCTTCGCTTCATGGATGTTTTATGTAGCTTCGATCTGACTTTGCTCCTCCTCAGGGGCCAGGAGGTCCAATAAATTCTCGTCTTGATTGACAACCTGGAAGAGGCTTCTTTGGATCACTAGATTTGGAACACAATAAGGGCACAGAATTTGACTCCTGGAAGGTTAATCACATTGACAGACGGATGGATGGATGGATGGATGGATGGATGGATGATTGATAACATACATTCTGATATTTTTACTCCATATAATATAATATTTTGGCATCTCTAAGAAGCCAGAGAAAGATTTGGCTAGTCGTGAAATTCTCACTGTTTCTCCTGCCCAGAGCGACTGCCTGGCACCCCCATCCAATCTGAAGCCAAGGATGACCCTCTATGCATAGGTTCAAGATATGAGGATCACCTAACCCAACACATTGCTTCTCTCTAACTGTCCCTGTTCCCAAAATACAGAAATCTTTTTTCGATGGGTAAATTCTGAGATGGTCGTTGAAGATTCCACTTCTAATCATCCTGGAATTTACCAGCTATTACACTGGATTTTCACTAACTACCAGGTGAACTTCCACCCTAAATGACACAATCAAGGTTACCCACTAAATTTCTCTTGACTCTGACTTCTCCCCTGCCAGGTTCTGCTATTCTGACTCCTTTGGGGATGGGGGTGGGGTTTCCTGCAAACAATGAACAAAGGAGGCTGGGGAGCATTCATTCCCAGGGTCACCCAAGATCATCCCAGGTGCCCAGCTAAATAATCAGAAGCATTTGTTGGGTACCAGCAAAAGAAGATGCAAAAGGAAGAGGAACACACTGTAGTGACAACAGCTAGGCAAGGATCTACACCTTTGGGAGAAGGCAATGAGAAACATCGCTGGTATTTGATCAAGGAAACCTCATGTATGGTCAATGCAATATGTCTCTTGTGGTAGTAGATGACGTGATCCTCAGATGAGATGGTACTGAATAAGCAAATGAGGAGGAGGTGAAGATCTTTGGAGTAGGAACGGTGTTTATTATATGGATGGAATAGACACTGAGTTGGTTGAACATCACTGGGGAGGCATCATATAAACATTTAAACAAGAAAAACGCCTGCCACAGGACCCCCACAGCTGTGGTCAGTCAACTGTTGGCAAGATAAGCTGCGTAACTGCCTTCACACAACATAGAAACCTAGTCTAGGATGGGTGGATCATTTGAATCTGGTATGTGGTGGGGAGCCAGCCTTTTCCTAAGGCATCCAAGTATGGTGGGAAACAGGTCATCCTCCCCAGCATAAGAGGCTTTGTATAGTGTGAGATGTGTTGGGTTAATTCAGCTTCAGCTATCTCGGGTAATATGCAACTAGATTTACTGTCTGTGTCAGGGAATGTAGATTTAATAGCTGTAAGCTGATGGAAGGTTGTAAGCGGAGGTAACTGAAAGCTGATGCAATGGGAATGAGTCAGCAACTGGAATCGCCGGATTAAGACTCTGATGGGGTCCACACAACACTGTTACCGTTTTAAGAGGTGTTTATATATAGGTGACCATTAGAGGATGTATCTCTCTCTTGTTGTGTATCTCAATGTTCTCCTTGTGTCTGTAGCTGTATGATAAGGTATCTACCACGTATATGTATGTATATAGTTCGTTGTTAATTATCTAAAGGCTCTGTGTGCTGTGTGCTGTGTTTTGCTCCTGGGCTTATCTCATAATACTAGTTACCCTGCAAAACTGACAGTCTGGCTACAGGAGCTGGGACCTATTAAAGTTCCACCCAGCTATTGTTTCTTGACCCATTTCCTTCCTTTCACCTAACCCATACCATCTCTAAAGAACTGAGAATGACATGTGGAGCTGAATAGATCCTTGTTGTTGTTTACCTACAGACAGAATCTTGCCAGATTAAAGCAATTATTTTTATAATCATATATATATATATATACTCTGTGAGCTGCTAGGGTGGGACCAACTTGCTTTTCATGCCCACCAGACATTCCAAGCCCTGCTTTCTCTTTGCCATCTAGGAAAGAGTCCCTCCCTCCTGTGACTTCAGACTACATTCCTCCACAACCCACCACACAAGATCTCCACTCTTCTTCCACCTTTCTTCTTTTGCTGATTTGATTTGTGTCTCCATCACATCATCTCCAGCAAGGTTAAAACAATCTAAGTGGCAGCTGTAGCCACTCAGCCACAGAATCACTTCTTTGAGTAACATTTCAAACACTTACCTTGTTAAGTTCTGAGGAAGCACATTCACTTCCTCTGAAGGAGGAGCTGCTTTGAAAGGCAATGGGTATTTCTTGCTTGGGTGTCTCAATTGTGAACATTGACTCTTTCGCCCAGTGGAATCTCTCAGCCAGATGCTACTCTGCCCCATGTATGGATCTCTCCATTGGGATCAATTTGGTTATGAAATGGTGAAGAGATTATGGGAGAGGAGCAACTATAACCCAGCACATTATAGCACTTCCCTTCAGAGGGACTTTGGGCTGGCTGCCCTTGATCCCACACCCTGGATCACAGGATCACAGGGTGATCACCTTATGCAGTCCATTCTCTGCAGAATGCAGATCAGTTCTGCCATCTCTGAAGCCTCTTTTGGGAAGCCTCCAAGATGGAGAACCCATCACCTTCAGTGGAAAGTCTTCTACTACTACTGGACAGAACTTACCCCCAGGGAAAGTTTTCTCATGTTTCAATTAAATTTAAGTAGCTGTATCCATGATTTCTGGACTTAGTTGCCAGAGGACCATGTTTGCTAAAACCGCTCTCCTAATGTGGCTATCATGGGCCTCAAATAAACTCCACAGAGTGGGCAGAGACAACCAAGGTGCCATGTCTACAGGATCTTGGGGATCTTAACACGCATCCACAAAACTCAGTTGCCACTGAGCAGACCTGCTACCCAAGGAGGCAAAAGGATAGATGAGTGTGGCTCTCCCACCTGTGGGCACCTGACAGGTGAGGCCCCTGCACCAGTTCGCTCTGCGTCTCTTTCTCCATCTGAAGGGACCTCTTGCAGGGGGCTGCACCCGATGTCCAGGTTCCAGCAGGGGATCTGCAGGAGGCAGGGAGCAAGGGGTCTCTAGGGGGATCTCTGGGGAAGAGAAAGAGATGGATGGGAGAGACTTTCCAGGGGAGGCCCCTTCTGCCCTTTACGGAGCAATGCAGGATCCACTGTGACCCACCAAGGCTGCTGGGTGACCAAGGAGGGAGAAATTATGTCCAGCTGGGCAAGTGAAAAAGTGGAAACCAAAGTTTGGGGTTCCCAGCTTGGTCACAGGTTGGATGTTGGATCGCCCTTCCTGAAGAGTCCCTCCCAAGGTCCTTGCTCCCCTTTCTTCTACTCTACTCATTGCTCTTCTCTGCAGGAAAGAAGACCATGGGGCAATTCCTCTTTGTGAGCCTGGGCTTGCTGGTCGTGGCCTTCTCCCTAACTGGTGAGTTCCAACTGGGACTCTCCTGTCTAGAGAGAGCTCTTGCCTCTGACCCCCTTCCTGATGAGACCTCCCCCACTCTCCTCCCTGAAATTGCTCTCATTCCTGTTTAGCTTATTATGGAATTTAGGTCTAATCTTATTTCTCTGTTACAAGACCCAGGGCTGTTTATAACAAATAGGTCTCTTTCTGTTGTTAATGTTCACAAATCCATATTTATCACTTCTATGGAGCTTCTTGAAGGATCATCCAATGGGAGGATTGGGATCTCTCTGATAAAAACGCTCACCTTGGACAAAACCTCTGAAAAATGTTATTTACTCCTATGCTGTCTTGTCATTTCTCCCACCAGGCCCATTTCTCCCATTCAGGCCCACTTGGAGAACTGACTGGTGTCAGCACATCAAGCTGCATTTATTCTAGTGCTGACATAAGAAGGAGAAGCGGAGGCATCTGGAAAGGGACGTTTGACTTTTCACCTACTTATTTTCCCTGGAGATAATATCCCCTAGGAGATGGGATGGGAGGGGGGAAATTCCTTTGAGCTGGAGCAGTAGATTAGGGGTAGAGTGACTTGGAAGATGGCCAATGAATGCAGAGGAGTGGGGAAAGGAAAGGGAGTGTTTGGGGTCAGGAAGTCAGTGTTGGCTACGATGGAGTCGGAGTTAGAATGTCGTGCTTAATAAATGGGAGGTTTTCATCAAAGACTTTGTTTGAAATGCAATTTATTTGAGACGACCTTGAAACCTGACAACTGGTATGTTTAAAGCCACAATGAGCCCAATTCTCCTCTGACCCCCCCCCCCTTGATCTTAGAATCAAGGCCATCTCACATACTGACCTCCTCCTTCAGTCTGCCTTCCTCTTTATGGCCCATTGAATGGCCTCTAAAGCTTCTTCAAACTCCAGTGGGTCATTAATTTGGGGACTGCAAGTCCCAAACCTGGGAGGATTGTTCTTTCTTCCCCTTCATTTATTTTGCGCAGAAATTGCTCATTTCTCTTACCAACAGAACATCTTGTGCTCTGTTACATTTTCAATTCATGAAAGACACTTGATTGTAGAGGGAAAAAAATGTTTCCCTGGAATTGAGCTCAGTTCCCGGTGACTTTGTGAATACAAGTGTAGTGTTTTGGTTTGGTTTGGGTTTTTTTGTGGCAACAACATAGTTATCAGGACATGAAATCAGGAACCAAGGTTGCTCAAATGGGTACAAGTTTAATCCATGCTAGCCCTCCACAAGAATCTGAACAATCACCATGTGTAACTCTTCTCAGCTGCTCCAGATCAACCGAGATTGAGGGAGCAGTTGGAGAGAGAGTGAGAGACCCTTAAAACCTGAAAACTTTCCTTTCTTCTTTTTTTAAAAAAAAGATTTTATTGATTTTCTATTCTTTACATTTTCTTAGTGCTTAATAAACATCGTGTTGTCTGGATTTGTATAATTACTTAACAGTAAAGATTACATTCTTAATCTCCACTTCTTTTTTCAAACCACTGACAAAATAAAGTCCATGTTTCATAATATTCTGTGTCTTCTTTCTGTTTAATCTTCAGCGAAAGTCTCTCCATTTCTGCACAATCTAGTATCTTCCTAATTATCTTTTCGTCTCGCGATGTTTCTTCATTTTTCCAACATTGTGCAAATATAATCCTCGCTGCTGGTAACACATGCAATATGAAATCTATGCTTTGTTTATCAAGTTTTTCTGATATTATACCTAACAAAAACAGTTCAGGTTCAAAATTGACATGTTTTTCTATCATCTTTTCTAACCACTTATCTATTTTTGCCCAAAATTTTCCTTTCTGATCTGGACCCAGAAGAGCCAGAGCTCCTTCCTCAATGGGCTAACGTGGCTCCCCTGTCATTACAGAAAGACCAATGGGAGTGGACAGACAGATCCAGAACCAACTACGTAGCCTGGGCGGTTGAGGAGCCCAATAATTCAGAGGACAAGTTGTGCGTTCGGCTGAAGAAAAGTTCAAGTAAGCCCAGAAGTTGCGGGAAGCAGCTGGGGTGCAATTGCAGCAACTGACAACTGCTCTTATTTATTTATTTATTTATTTATTTATTTATTTATTTATTTATTTATTTATTTATTTATTTATTTATTTATTTATTTATTTATTTACAACAGCTGTACAGGTAGTTCTCGACTTACAACAAAGTTACAACATCACTGAAAAAAGTGACTTGTGACCATTTTTCACACTTATGACCTTTGCCGCATCCCCAGGGTCACATGATCAAAATTGAGATGCTTGGCAACTGACTCATATTTGTGACGGTTTCAGTGTCTCCGGGGTCCTGTGATCCCCTTTTGTGGCTGTCTGACAAACAACTGGAGAAGCCAGATTCACTTAACAACCATATTATTAACTTAATAACTGCAGTGATTTACTTAATTACTGTGGAAGAATGCTCGTAAAATGGAGCATAATTCACTTAACAAGTGTTTCACTTAGTAACAGAAATGTTGCCCTCAATTTTGGTTGTAAGTCGAGGGCTACCTGTATAGCCTCTCCCCCCCACATCTTATAACCTACTCCCAATCGAAAGTTAAAATAGAAACTGTAGTAAAAATACAAATCTAACACAACAAAAACCTGGCACCCAATCAGATTTCTGATTTGAAATCAGCCAATATTCTCCCAGCCTTCGGGGGGGGGGGAGCTACACCCTCCAAGCCTAAAAGGGTGGGGCTTGGTTGAACTTCAGAGGGGAAGGGGCTCCACGGGGGAGTCCCAAGGTAATCAGCGCAAGGCTTTAAGGCTAAGGACCAGCACTTTGAATTGTGCTCAGAAAAAAATGTGAAGCCACTGCAGCTTTCCCAACAGAGATCTTACGTGGGCAAACCTAGAGGCCCCTGTTGCTTACACGCTGCTTCATGTCCAGTGGACATTTCCGGGTGGGCCTCAAGGGCAGCCCCACCTAGAGCACATGGCAGTAGTCCAAATAGGCGGTGACCAAGGCATGAGTTACTCTGAGCAAGGCCTCAAGGGAGCAATTAGTGCATTACATGATTTGGTAAAAAGGATCTCCTAGCCATAGCTGACTGCTTCTATGGTTGGACAGATCCTATCCCCAGGGAGATTTTTCTCATATTTCAATTAAATTTAAGTAGCTGTATCCATGATTTCTGGACTTAGTTGCCAGAGGACTATGTTTGCTAAGACAAATCCCCTAATGTGGCCATCCTGGGCCTCTACCCATGGAGTGGGTAGAGAGAACCCAGGTGCCATGTCTGTAAGATCTCAGGGCTCTTAACAGGGATCCCCAAAACTCCCAGAGCAGCAGTTTTGTTGGTCTTTGGCAGGTTAACAATCGATCGAGAGAGCACTACAAAGGATAGACACTCTGTGCCACAAGCCAAAAGTTGCCTTCTTCCCCTTGGAAGGAAAACAAGGAAGAAGAAGAAGAGGAGAAGGAAGAAGGAAGCGAGTCCTTCTGTCAATAGGCCATGATAGCTCTCTCCCCTCTCATAGGTGAGGGAGTTTATTGAAGAATCACTTGGCATTCAGCAGAAAGAGGTGAAATCTGGGGCCTCCGAGTTCTGATGACCAGGCAGTGGGGGTGAGTGTGGGGACCGGAAGGTGGTACCAGCACTTAAGGGTCATCCTTGGCTTCAGGGTGGACAGTGGTGCCAAACAGACTCCATATAGGGGTCCCCAACTCTCGGTCCACAGCCTGGTGTGGGGCCGCCACGCATTCGGAGCCAGCCACAGAAGTGGTAGGTGAGTGTGCAAATGCGGGCGTGCAAAGCTGCATTTCTGAAAGTGGTGTGTGTGCATGAAACCACACCCTCTCTCCCCACCCCTGCAGCCACCGCCATCCTTTCTGGTCCACCAACCTCGAAAGATTAGGGAACACGGTTATCAATCGGTCAATCTGATTAACCCCCAGAAGTCAAGTTGTGTGCCTTCATTGTGTTCCAAATGTAGTGATGCAAACAAGTTTCTTCCAGATTGTTAAGCAGGACCAGAAATCCTGAAGCAAAGCAAATTCTCTCTCCCTCTGCCCTCCCCCCCTCCAACAGATATTCACCCCCATCCTTCCCTATAAATGCCTCCATTCCCTTTGCTGGAGGGAAGCCTGGAGTTGCCACTGAGCAGAATTGCTACCTAAGGAGAGGAAGGGACAGGTGAGTGTGGCCAGGTGAGGCCCCAGCATGAGAATGCTTTGTGTCTCTTTCTCATGGGAACACTTGCAGGGGGCTGCACCCGATGTCCATGTTCCAGCAGGGGATCTGCAGGAGTCAGGGAGCAAGGGGTCTCTGGGGGGATCTCTGGGGAAGAGAAAGAGATGGACGGGAGAGACTTTCCAGGGGAGGCCCCTTCTGCCCTTTACGGAGCAATGCAGGATCCACTGTGACCCACCAAGGCTGCTGGATGACCAAGGAGGGAGAAATTATGTCCAGCTGGGCAAGTGAAAAAGTGGAAACCAAAGTTTGGGGTTCCCAGCTTGGTCACAGGTTGGATGTTGGATCGCCCTTCCTGAAGAGTCCCTCCCAAGGTCCTTGCTCCCCCTTCTTCTACTCTACTCGTTGCTCTTCTCTGCAGGAGAGAAGACCATGGGGCAATTCCTCTTTGTGACCCTGGGCTTGCTGGTCGTGGCCTTCTCCCTAACTGGTGAGTTCCAACGGGGTCTCTCATTTCTGGAGAGGCCAATTCTCTTGCCTCTGACCTCCTTCCTGATTCGACCCTCCCCAAATCCCCTCCCTGAAGTTGCTTTCATTCCCATTTGGCTTATTACAGAATTTAGATCTCACTGTCAGCACATCAAGATGCATTTATCCTAGTGCTGACATGAGAAGGAGAACGCAAGTGTCTGCAACGGGACGGTTGCCTTTCACCTACTTATTTTAGCTGGAGATAACGTCCCCTAGGAGATGGATGGGGGGGGGCAATTCTTTGAATTGGAGCAGTAGATTAGGGGTGAATGATTGGGAAGATGGCCAATGAATGCAGAGGAGTGGGGGAAGGAAGAGGAGGGATTTTGGGGCAGCACCTCAGTGCTGGCTGCATGGAGTCAGTGTAAAAGTTGCCGTGCTAAATAAAATGGAAGTCTGTTTCAAAAAGGACTTTGTTTGAGACGCAATTTATTTGAAGACGGCCTGAAAACCTGATACTCACCTTATTTCTCTGCTACAGGACCCAGGACTGTTTGCAACAGGGCAAAAACAAAGCAAAATTAATGCAATCAAAATTCATACTCTTAAACTTGTTTAATAGTTAAAGGGTTTAATGAAAAATAGGTCCTCTTATCATTCACAAGTCATTTCAATAATGAGATGGGCGGCATACACATATATTAAATAAATCAATTAAAAAATTAAAGTAGAATAGTGGTTTACAGAGTCAGCCTCTTGACCTCCCCCCCCCTCCTCCCCAACAATCTGGGGGTCCTCATTTTACTGACCTTGGAAGGATGGAAGGCTGTGTCAACCTTGAGCCTGGTGAGATGCAAAGTGCCAAAGTGCAAGTAGTTGACAGTCAGCAGAAGTAGCCTGCAGGACTGCACTCTGACCACCGCCCCACCATGGCCATTCCCCTGCATTTATCATTAGGAGCAGAGCGCCCCCTACCTCTTCCTAGGGATTTTTCTCCATGGGACCCCACACCAGACCTTGGACCCTTTCCTGTGGATCTAAGAACTGAGCCTCTGGCATAGGGCAACTTCAGACGGGCCTTTCCCCCGTGGGACTGTGGCAGAGGGACAGTCCCACAAGTAGTCAGCTATTCGGCTATTTGGGGGCATCCAGGAGGCCAGTGGGGATCCTTCTGGAAAGATCCTGGTGATCTCCCTTCTTTGCACTAGTCGATTACTCGGCTGATGCCTTCTGCAGCAGTTGCAATTTCAGGAGACCGTCAAAGGTAGCCACACCTTTGTGTGGTGAATCACTCGCCCCCACGGAGAGGGCTCGTAACTTGGGCGTCCTCCTGGACGCACGGCTGTCTTTAGAAGAGCATCTGACGGCCGTGGCCAGGGGGGCTTTTTATCAGGTTCGCCTGATACGCCAGTTGCGCCCCTTTCTAGATCGGGACTCCCTACGCACAGTCACTCAGGCACTCGTTACCTCCCGCCTGGACTACTGCAACGGTCTCTACAGGGGTCCCCCTGGGGGGCACCCGGAGGCTCCAGCTGGTCCAGAATGCGGCCGCGTGGGGGATTATGGGAGCGACGGGGCGCTCCCATGTGACACCTCTCCTGCGCGAGCTGCACTGGCTCCCGGTGGTCTTCCGGGTGCGCTTCAAGGTGTTGGTGACCACCTTTAAAGCGCTCCATGGCTTAGAGCCGGGGTATCTAGGAGACCGCCTTCTGCCACCAATAGCCTCCCACCGGCCAGTACGCTCTCATAGAGAGGGGCTCCTCAGGGTGCCGTCCGCCGGACAGTGTCAGCTGGCAACCCCCAGGGGGAGAGCCTTCTCTGTGGCAGCGCCCGCCCTCTGGAACAACCTCCCCCCAGAGATACGTACAATAACAGACCTCCGGATTTTTCGTCGGGCCCTGAAAACCCATTTATTTCAACTAGCTGGGCTGGCTTGAGTTTATTATTTATTTATTTATTTATTAGATTTTTATACCGCCCCCTCTCCCGAAGGACTCGGGGCGGTGAACAGCCAAAGTTAAAAACATACAATATAAACAATTAAAATACGTTTAAAACAGAATTAAATCTAAAATGGCTCCCCAATTTAAAATGCCTTACCCATACCCCTATAAAAAGACGAGTTTAAAATTTAAAAATTTAAAATTTCCACATTTAAAAAGGGGGAAGATTTAGGCCAGGCCAGCTTGATAAAATAGAAAGGTCTTAAGCGCGCGGCGGAAGGTGCGCAGATCCGGGATCCTACGTATCTCCGGGGGGAGCTCGTTCCAAATCGTAGGTGCCCCCACAGAGAAGGCTCTCCCCCTAGGGGCCGACAGCCGACATTGTTTGGCCGACGGCACCCGGAGGAGCCCCTCTCTATGGGAGCGTACTGGCCGGTGGGAGGCTATTGGTGGTAGCAGGCGGTCCCGTAAATAACCAGGTCCTAAGCCATGGAGCGCTTTGAAGGTGATAACCAGAACCTTGAAGCGCACTCGGAAGACCACCGGGAGCCAGTGCAGCTCGCGCAGGAGAGGTGTCACATGGGAACTCCATGTCGCTCCCATCACCACCCGCGCGGCCGCACTCTGCGCCAGTTGGAGCCTCCGAGTGCACCTCAAGGGGAGCCCCATGTAGAGAGCGTTGCAGTAATCCAGACGAGAAGTAACGAGGGCATGAGTGACTGTGTGTAGGGAGTCCCGATCTAGATAGGGACGCAACTGGCGGATCAGGCGAACCTGATGAAAAATCCTCCCGGACACGGCCATCACATGCTCTTCTAACGACAGCCGTGAATCCAGGAGGACACCCAAGTTGCGAGCCCTCTCCGTGGGGGCCAGCGATTCACCCCCAATAGTCAGCGATGGCATTAGCTGACTATATCGGGACGTCGGAAACCACAGCCACTTGGTCTTGGATGGGTTGAGCCTGAGCCTGTTCCTCCCCATCCAGATCCGTACGGCCTCCAGGCACTGGGACATCACTTCAAGGGCATCGTTGGGGTGGTCCGGGGTGGAGATGTACAGCTGGGTGTCATCCGCGTACTGATGGTGCTTCACCCCAAAACCACGGATGATCTCGCCCAGCGGCTTTACATAAATGTTGAACAAAAGGGGCGAGAGGATCGATCCCTGCGGCACCCCACATATGAGGGGCCTCGGGGTCGACCTCTGCCCCCCTGTCAACACAGACTGCGACCGGTCGGAGAGAAAGGAGGAGAACCACCTTAGTACGGTGCCTCCCACCCCCAACTCTTCCAACCGGTGCAGCATGATACCATGGTCGATGGTATCAAAAGCCGCTGAGAGATCTAACAGGACCAGGACAGAGGAGCAGCCCCTGTCCCGAACCCTCCAGAGATCATCAACCAACGCGACCAATGCCGTTTCCGTGCTGTATCCAGGCCTGAAACCCGACTGGAACGGATCCAGATACGACGCTTCATCCAGGTACTGGGGAAGCTGTCCCGCAACCACACTCTCAACAACCTTCGCCACAAAATGAAGGTTGGAGACTGGACGATAATTAGCCAATATTGCCGGGTCCAGGGAAGGCTTCTTGAGGAGGGGCTTCACCACCGCCTCCTTAAGGGCGGCGGGGAAGACACCCTCACCCAATGAAGCATTTATAATCCCCTGGAGCCAGCCTCACGTCACCTCCCGGGAAGCCAGCACTAACCAGGAGGGACACGGGTCCAACAAACATGTGGTCGCGTTCAATCTACCCAGAATCCTGTCCACGTCATCTGGGGTCACAGGATCAAACTCATCCCAGATAACAGTCTCAAGACCTGCCTCCGTCACTCTCGCTGGATCTACCCAGTCAGAGTCCAGACCTTCCCGAATCTGAGTGATTTTGTCATACAGATACTGAACAAAGTCCTCGGCTCTTCCCTCCAAGGGGTCCTCCCACGCTTCCTGGTGGAGCAGGGAGCGGGTCACCCTAAACAGGGCGGCCGGGCGATTATCTGATGACGCAATAAGAGCAGCAAAATGCATACATTTTGCTGCTTTTATCGCCACTAGGTAAGTCCTAATATGGGATCTAACCAGTGTCCGGTCCGATTCAGAAAGACTAGCTCTCCAACTACTCTCTAGGCGTCTTTTCCGGCGCTTCATCCCCTCAGCTCCTTGGTAAACCAAGGAGCCAGGCGAGATCCACGCCGGGTCAGAGGCCGCAAAGGCACGACTCGATCCAGGGCCCCAGCGGCCGCCCTATCCCAGGCGGCCACTAGGTCTCCAGTCGAGGCGTGAGCCAGAACCTCAGGAATTGGCCCAAGCTCCGTCTGGAACCTATCGGGTTCCATCAGGCGCCTGGGGCGGTACCATCTTATCGGTTCCACCTCCCTGCAGCGGGGTGTCGCGGTACGAAGGTCAAGGCGAAGGAGAGAGTGATCCGACCATGACAAGGGCTCGATGACTACATCCCCTATCTCAAGATCACTCAACCACTGTCCAGAGACAAAAAGCAAGTCCAGTGTGTTTCCCCCAGTGTGCGTAGGGCCATGAATTAGTTGGGTCAGATCCATGGCCGTCATGGAAGCCATGAACTCCCGAGCCACCTCAGACGTCTCACCCACGGACGGCAGGTTGAAATCCCCCATGACCATAAGTCTGGGGGTATCAACCGCCACCGCAGCAATAACATTGAGTAGCTCAGGCAGGGTTGCTGCCACACGGCAGGGAGCCAGGTACGTGATCAGCAAACCCATCTGAACCCCATGGCCCCATTTCACAAGGAGGGACTCACAACCAGCTGTCTGAGGTACAGTGGTCTCCCTGGGCCTAAGGCCTTCTCTAATAATAACCGCTACTCCCCCGCCCCTCCCTTGTGACCTCGGCTGATGGAATGCGCGGAAGCCTGGTGGGCACATTTCTACCAGAGGGACCCCTCCCTCCAGGCCCAACCAGGTCTCCGTAATACCCGCCAGGTATTACGAGTTAAATTTTAAACTGATTTTAAATTGGAATTGTTTTAATTACGGCCAAAATATTTAATTATTTTAAACAGTTTTTAGATTTTGTATGTCTTGTTTTTACTTTGGCTGTTCACCACCCTGAGTCCTATATTGGAGAAGGGCGGTATAGAAATTTAAACAAACAAACAAACAAACACATCAACCATGTTTCAGTAGTCTAGCTAGGTTGTAGCCAAAGTGGGGATAATTGTTGCTGAGTCTGACTGGCTGATGAAGCTTCGCAGCCGACACCAGCGATCCAAGTGGGCAAAGGCAAAACCGGCTTAACCTGGTTCTTGGAGGAATCCATTTTCTGGCTCCTGATGGTTCCCTGAATGACAAACCAACCCAAAAGGACAGATTAACAGGAGCCGTGTATTTTCAGGGAAATTAACCAAGACTAAACCAGATTCAGCTGCTGTGTTTGTAACCCAAGCCAGTTTCAATTCATTGCCATCAATGTGACTGCATGACTGTAACTTCGTTGCTTGTATCCTTGCAATTTATATTGATATTGATGGTTTCCTAGTATGATTTGATTGCTTGTTGTACCGTATGAGTCACTGGTTGTTGTGTCTTGTGATTCTTGATGAGTGTATCTTGTCTTTTTATGTGTACTGAGAGCATATGCACCAAAGACAAATTCCTTGTGTGTCCAATCACACTTGGCCAATAAAGAATTCTACTCTACTCTACTCTACTCTACTCTACTCTACTCTACTCTACTCTACTCTACTCTACTCTATTCTATTCTATTCTATCAGAGATGTTTGCAATGCAGGACTGTAAGCATGTTGTTCTGCAGAACCTGCTGTCTCCTCATCCTCATCCTCTCTTGGCCATCTTCTCATTGGGCTTCCTCTCTTCCCACACAGGAGCCAAACGTTGTCCCAGTAGTTGGCTTGGCAAGAAGTGGTTTTGCTACAAGGTCTTTGATGAACAAAGGAGCTGGAGCGATGCTGAGGTTAGAAGTGCTTGTGTGCCTGTGAACATCCTAATTCAGGCAGAGGAGAAGCCTAGAGATAGCCATGCACAGCCCCTCAGACTCTGTGCATGGAAAGGTAGCAAGGACAGTTATCTTAGGACGGTCTGAAACACAAGTATTCTATGGACGATATGCTGGTCTGGGCTTTCATGGCCAGCATCTGTTGGGCAGTGCTGAGCCTCAGGGCTGAGTGACCATAATCCAGACAACAGATTTCCTGATGTTTCCCTGGCAACCCTGGTGGCATCTTCAGACTTCCTTGCCTCTGAAGTGATGGGATCAGAGAGTTTATCTCCTGAATCTAGAAATGTTCAAGAGCTGCAGAATCTAGCAAAGGCATCTGAAGGGAATCAACGCAGTCAAGACAGTGGCTAGGACCATGCAATCAGATTCCCTGGCTCTTCTCTCACTTTCACAAACTAACACACACACACACACACACACACATTTGCTTGTCTCCTTAACAAGTGCCTTTCTCCCTTGTGGCTCCCTCCCAGATGTTCTGCAGGAAATACAAACCAGGCTGCCACCTTGCTTCCATCCATAGTGGTGAATTATCGCATGACTTGGCCGAGTACGTCTCCGACTACATCAAAATTGCTAAATCTGTCTGGATTGGACTGAGTGATCCAGAGCAAGTAGGTCTCTTTCTGTTGCTAATGTTCACAAATCCATATTTACCACTTCTATGGGGCTTCCTGAAGGATCGTCCAATGGGAGGTCGGGATCTCTCTGATAAAAACTCTCACCTTGGACAAAACCTCTGAAAAATGTTATTGACTCCAATAAATAACATTCCTCCCACCAACCATTCAGGCCCACTTGGAGAACTGACTGGTATGTTTAAAGCCAAAATGGGCCCAATTCTCTTCTGACCCTCCCCCCCCCATCTCAGGATCCAGGCCATCTCACACACTCAGCTCCTCCTTCAGTCTGCCTTCCTCTTTATGGCCCATTGAATGGCCTCTAAAGCTTCTTCAAACTCAGGTGGGTCATTAATTTGGGGACTGCGAGTCCCAACCTGGGAGGATTGTTCTTTCTTCCCCTTCATTTATTTTGCGCAGAAATTGCTCATTTCTCTTACCAACAGAACATCTTGTGCTCTGTTGCATTTTCAATTCGTGAAAGTCGCTTGATCGTAGAGAAAGAATAGAATAGAATTTTTTATTGGCCAAGTGTGATTGGACACACAAGGAATTTGTCTTGGGACGTTTCCCTGGAATTGAGCTCAGTTCCCGGTGACTTTGTGAATACAAGTGTTTTTTTGTGGCAACAACACAGTTGACAGGACATGAAATAAGGAATGAGGACAACTTATTTTCCAACACTCCGGAAGGCAGGACAAGAAACAATGAACGGAAACTCATCAAGGAGAGAAGCAACCTAGAATTAAGGAGAAACTTCCTAACAGTGAGGACAATTAACTCCAGAAGTTGTGGGGGCTTCGACACTTGAGATTTTAAAGGAGAGATTAGACAGCCATTTGTCTGAAATAGGATAGGGTTTCCTGCTTGAGCAGGGGATTGGACTAAAAGGTCCCTTTCCTGCTCTATTCTGATTGATTGATTGATTGATTGATTGATTGATATGCTTGACCCCTCCCTTGGGCAGGCTGTCATCTCCTACAACAGTTTAGGTTTCACACACACACACACACACAACACACAAACACACAAATTTCCAAGTTTCACATACAGGCCTGGAATTTTGCTGATGGTCTCCTATCCAAGGACTCATTGAATTTGACCCTGTTTACCTTTCTGAGATCAATCGGTATCTTCCAGAGCTGCCACCGCATTGAGCATGAGACAAGAGGGCTCTCAAGCTGTATGATGACTTCACAAAGACCTCCAGGTTGTTTCTTCCCCGGGATCTCCTGATTGTCCCTCATCCAAGTATTCACCAAGTTTAACTCTGCTGAGCTGTTTCAGATGAACCGAGATTGAGGGGAGGGAGGGAGAGACCCTTAAAACCTGACAATTTTCGTTTCTGATCTGGACCCAGAAGAGCCAGAGCTCCTTCCTCAGTTGGCTAACGTGGCTCCCCTGTCATTACAGAAAGACCAATGGGAGTGGACAGACAGATCCAGAACCAACTACGTAGCCTGGGCGGTTGAGGAGCCCAATAATTCAGAGGACAAGTTGTGCGTTCAGCTGAAGAAAAGTTCAAGTAAGCCCAGAAGTTGCGGGAAGCAGCTGGGGTGCAATTGCAGCAACTGACAACTGCTTTTATTTATTTATTTATTTATTTATTTATTTATTTATTTATTTATTTATTTATTTATTTAACAGCTGTACAGGTAGTTCTTGACTTACAACAAAGTTACAACATCACTGAAAAAAGTGACTTCTGACCATTTTTCACACTTACGACCTTTGCCGCATCCCCAGGGTCACATGATCAAAATTGAGACGCTTGGCAACTGACTCATATTTGTGACGGTTTCAGTGTCTCCAGGGTCCTGTGATCCCCTTTTGTGGCTGTCTGACAAACAACTGGAGAAGCCAGATTCACTTAACAACCATATTATTAACTGCAGTGATTTACTTAATAACTGCGGAAGAATGCTCCTAAAATGGAGCATAATTCACTTAACGAGTGTTTCACTTAGTAACAAAAATATTGGCCTCAATTTTGGTTGTAAGTTGAGGGCTACCTGTATAGCCTCTCCCCCCCCCCATCTTATAACCTACTCCCAATCGAAAGTTAAAATAGAAACTGTAGTAACAATATAAATCTAACACAACAAAAACCTGGCACCCAATCAGATTTCTGATTTGAAATCAGCCAATATTCTCCCAGCCTTTGGGGGAGGGAGCTACACCCTCCAAGCCTAAAAGGGTGGGGCTTGGTTGAACTTCAGAGGGGAAGGGGCTCCACGGGGGGAGTCCCAAGGTAATCAGCGCAAGGCTTTAAGGCTAAGGACCAGCACTTTGAATTGTGCTCAGAAAAAAATGTGAAGCCACTGCAGCTTTCCCAACAGAGATCTTACGTGGGCAAACCTAGAGGCCCCTGTTGCTTACACGCTGCTTCATGTCCAGTGGACATTTCCGGGTGGACCTCAAGGGCAGCCCCACCTAGAGCACATGGCAGTAGTCCAAATAGGCGGTGACCAAGGCATGAGTTACTCTGAGCAAGGCCTCAAGGGAGCAATTAGTGCATTACATGATTTGGTAAAAAGGATCTCCTAGCCGTAGCTGACCCCTTATTCCTCTTTCCTGCTTAAATATGCATCAATCTTCTACCCCAAAGTTCCCCAATCTTTCTGGCTCTGTGGACCAGCAAGGGGGGGAAGGGAGGTTCCGTGAGAGTGGCTGGCAAATGGAGTGCGTGTAGACATGTTCAACCGCTGCTTGTGCAAGTGTGGATGTGTGCCTGTGCTTGTCTCCCACTTCCACTGCCCAGTTCTGAATCTCTCTTCGCCCACTAGTGGGCCAGTGCCCTGGTGTTGGGGACCCCTGTCTATCCCATCATAGTCAGACAAATCTCAGCCACTAAAAGACTAGGGAAGAGAAAAGTTGACAGATGCCTCCTACACTTCAAAACCAAATACAAGAACAACCTAAAAACCCCAGACATAATTAACTCGGTGGTTAGCTACGTTATCTGGGTTGCCACAACATGCTGAGCCCTAAGACAGGTGAGGTTCTCCACCTGTGGTGTCCTCATGATCTCCTAAGAATGAGGGAGAAGCCATCAAAATGATCTTTTGGGACTATGAAGGAGTCACTTCAAAGGGGGAATCAAATCTTTCTTTTTCCTGCCCAGAATATTTCCAATGGAAAACTTCAGACTGCGAGAAGTTGAAGCCATTTCTCTGCCAATGCTGATAGCTCCTTTTCCTGCTCCACAGTGATGAAACCTGGAGAAACAAGGAAGCCCCCCTGCCTGCCAAAATCTCTCCAATGCACCCCTTCGCTTCATGGAATGGTTTGCTTTATGTAGCTTGGATCTGATTTTGCTCCTCCTGATGGACCAGAAGATCAAATAAACTCTGTCTAGCAAGACTGGCCTTTTTTATTCTGCAGAGCCAGGAGACTGTGGTGGTCTGAAGCTCAAGACCCCACAATCTTCTGCCTGGCAAGGCTTGGCCTTAATGGGGAGGGGTGCTTCTTCAGAAGGACCATCCATGATGCTACTTTGCTCTCTTGGAAGTCCATCTCGTTTTAATTGGAGGGTTGGGAACCCACTTTCCTGCCCTTATAATGTTTTACATTGATTATCCATGTGATTTCCTTGGTCAAATACAGAGGAGGCTTAGCACCAGTGGTGGGATTCTACCAGTTCGGACCGGTTCAGAAGAACCGGTAGCTCCAACTATCAGCTGGGAGAGAACCGGTTCACCAATATGATCAGATGGGCCCACCCGCGCTATTTTCCTACCTTTATCTTCTCAGCTGATTTGCAGGGAAAACAGAGCAGATTGCTGTGTTTCTCATCTGAAGAAACATGGAAGTGAAGATTTCTTCAAACTGTGCACGCATGCAAAGCACGCGTCAGGCACACATGTGCGCAAAGCATGCATGCGTGCACAAAGCGTGCGATCACTGAACCGGTTGTTAAATCAGGATCTCACCACTGCTTAGCACTGCCTCCTCACATAGCTATGAATTCTTGCTTCCCTGTTGTCACTAAAGTTATCATCTCCCTCCAGCATCTTCTTCTATCACTGCTGCCCCAAAAGGGCACCTGGTTTGTTTAGCTTGTACAGTATAGATGGCTTCACTCCCACCATCCTTAGCTCATGTGTCCCAGGAACACCAGCACCACAATAAGGAATTGGAAGTGGGGAAGCAGCCCAAGTGGTCCAATTGTCAAAAGTGTCGAAGTCAAACTTCTCCAGCTTGGCAAACATTTTTTTCTTCCATAGTCTTTGCAACACCTCCTGCTGGACCTGAGCCTCTGCATCCTCAGAGTAAATCAAGATGTCATCTAGATAAATCACCAGAAATTTGGCAATTGTATCTGAAAAAATTAATTCATAAATCTGAAAAATAGTGCTGTACATTTACAATCAGCCAGTCCAAAAAGAATAATTGCACCTTCAAACTCACCATTCCTGATATCAAAAGCTGTCAAATACTCATGTCTTTCTTTGACTCTAATGTGGTCATAAGCGTTCCTGAGATCCAGCTTGGTCAATATGTGAGCCATCTGTAATCGGTCCATCAAATCTGATCTTAGAGACGGTGGGTAATGATCCCTTATTGTGACCTTGTTTTGAGGTCCTCGTAATTGTGGTCTGTGCAGATCAGAACCTGTCCCTTCTGTCCCAACCGGTCAGAAGCCATTAAGAGCGTACCCTGACCCATATGAACTTCATAAGCTCTTTATAAGCTGAATACTCCCCTCCCCATTTGAGCACTTGAGAAAGGCCCCACTGTCGTTTCCCTGAACCTGTGAATAGTAAGTGGGCTGATGCTCCTTTTATGCCCTGCTGGTCATCCCGCTCTCCTTCCCTGGGCACCTGGCTGAGCAAACTCGAACGATATGCCCCGGCTTGCCACAGATAAAGCAAAGCACTAAATCCCTTCCTCTTTGCCTTTCCTCAGCAGCTGCTCCAGTTGCATCAGCTCTCCGTCCCCAGATCAGTTGTAGTAGGTGTGAAGAGAGCAAGCCTTGCGATCCAGGATTGGGCTTGCACAACTGATCCTGTTCTTGCTGCAAATCTCCCAACTGGGCATCTATGAGCACGCAAAGTTGCAATACGGTAACTCCTCTAGGATTTGTGGAATTCCTTCAGAGAATTCTATTCTAAATCTGTTCAGGAGGGGACTGCATGCAGAAGCTTCACTTCCATGCCAGGAGTTTACTGTTTACTGTTTTAATAGATGTACGTCTTGGGTTGTTTTATAATGTTGGTTTAAACACAGAATAGACTAGAATAACAGAGTTGGAATGGACCTTGTGAGTCATCTAATCCAACCCACCCACCCACCCACCCAAGCAGGAGACCCTCCTCCATTTCTGACAGGTGGCAGCCCAGTCTCCTCGAAGGCTTCCAGGGATGAAACTCCCACAACTTCTGAAGACAACTTCTATTCCATGGGTTGATTGTTCTCACTCTCAGAAAATTTATCCTTATTTCTAGGTTGAAATATTATTTGGGAGACCCCCAAAGTTCAATATCCTATGGGCAGCTATATAAATGTTTTAACTAAATGAATAAATAAACAGAATCTGATTCACCTCCAAGGAGTTGTGTGTCTTTGGCCTGTTGATGTGCCAAAGAAGTTACTTCCTGTTTTTTAAACCAAAACGACTTTCTGAAATAAACGAATTTCTCTTTCCCTTCACCCACCCCCAACAGAAATCCCCCCTCTTATAAGTAATAGAATATCCCATTTTCTCCTGCATTCCACATGAGCCATTTCTTTCTCTTAGCTGAAAAGTAAAGGGGATGAATTCCTCTGTCCTTGCAAGGCTGTGATAGATTCCATGCAAACACAAGAGGTGTTTTTGTTATCCTGACAATATGAAGCCATGAGTGAGTTTTTGTTCTGTTCATTTGTTTGTTTGTAAGTATTGATCTGTATAAAGGTTGGAAGGAGCAGGGATGGGGCTTCACCTGGATTTCACCTGCTTGGACACGGAGCCCCTGTTCTTTGTTATTGGTGTTGCTTAATTGTTGATTGGGAGCCACCTGGAGTCAGGGCTGCCTTAACGCCTGATGGGCCCCAGGAGCTCATCTGTGTAGGTTAACCCTTCAGTGCACCTTGTATCATATAAATGCAGCAACTGTGTGGCTTACTGAGTACTATTGTGTTTTTCAAGCCTCGTGTATTGTTCAGATGTTGATCATGTTGATTAGTTGTTGCTGCACAGCATGTTTTTAGTGTTTCAATGCCGATTTTGTTGGAAGTGCCAATAAAATAAATATATGTGTAATTTTATCGACCAATTTTATTCCAGTGAGTAGTTGTCATACACTGCTTTGCCCATAATGGTGTAAGACAGCCCTGCCTGGAGTTCATTTAATTTAATTTAATTTAATTTAATTTAATTTAATTTAATTTAATTTAATTTAATTTAATTTAATTTAATTTAATTTAATTTAATTTAATTTATATTCCGCCCCTCTCCGGAGACTCAGGGCGGCTCACAATACATTTTTTAAAAAACCATTCCAGAGAGCTGGGGCAGCCGCAGAGAAGGCCCTCCCATGTGCATTGTTAGTGAGACCTGGAGAAGCTCTCTGGGATCTTACCAGTCACTGGGAGCTATGCAAGGCGGTCTCAAAGATAACCTGGCCCTGAGCCATGTAGGGCAGCTACATAAATGTTTGAAATGAATAGAATCTAATTCAACTCCAGGGAGTCACGTTTTGTGTCTTTGGCCTGTTGATAGATATTTTCTGCAAATAAGCTACTTCCTGGTTTTTAGACCAAAACTCCCTTCTGAAACACAAGACTTTCTCTCTCCCTTCACCAACCCCCCCCCAAAAAGAAATTTACCCCCTTGCCTTGTGTTGCCTTTGCCTATAAATTCCTCCATTCGCTTCGGCAGGAGACTTGCTATCCAAGGAGCCAAATGTGATCAGGGAAAACTAAGCCTGCAACCAAAAGCATTAATCAGCTTTGCTAAACACATGAATTAAATAGCTTTGCATGGGAATGCCTGGGTGAGATAGTTGGGCTAAGCAGAGGAGAAGGCTCATGAAAACACGAGGCCAGAGGCATGGCTTGCTTTGTGTAACTCCCACTGTGCTCTAGGCACAATGAATGCAGGACGGAGCAAAACCACAGGCTCACAAATATTGCTCAAATATTACTAAACAAAGCATGTAGGACATGCCAACCGGCTGAAATGACAACTACGTTATGAAAGCTTCGGAGCAACCTATGTACACGTGTCTCTGTGTGTGTTTCTAACTGCTGGGGGGTTTAAGCCGGTAATGGGGAAAGGGGGCCACACATGACACCCTGATGTTCAGGTTGGTGGGTTTTGCGGTTTGGGGATATAAAAGACCTGGCTGAAGGGAACCTCCCCATGTCCTCCTTCTGTGCAGAGCCACATCATCCTGCTTCAATCTCCACCTCGGGGTGTTTAGTTGGGCTTCAACACCTCAGACAAAGACCCAGAGTTGACAGGTGAGTGCTGCTTTCCCACCTGGGGGAACATGGCAGGTGAGGTCCTTGCATCAGATCACTCCTGGGAGTCTCTCTCCATCTGAAGGGACCTCTTTAAAGTTGCTGCAGGCAATGCCCAGGTTCCAGGAAGGGATCTGCTGGAGGGCCCCTCAGGCAGGGAGGAACAGATCTATTGGGGATCTCTGTGGGAGAGAAAGACAGACTTTTAGGAGACCCTTTCTAAGAGAGGCCCCTGACCATTGTATGCCATTGCAAAATCCACTGTGATCCACTGTCAAGGCTGTTGCATGACCAAGGAAGGGGAAATGGGTCCCAGTTGAGCTAGAGCAAAATTCTGAGACAAACTATGGGACTCCCAGCTTCATCCTGGGTTGGATGTTGGGTCCCCCTTCCTGATGGGGTCTTACCATGTGCCTAGTCCCCCCCCCTCACTTCTTCCCTCTTTGTTCTTCTCTGCAGCGAAGGAAGGAAGACCATGGGGCAATTCATCTTTGTGAGCCTCAGCTTGCTGGTCGTGGCCCTTTCCCTAAGCGGTGAGTCTCTGGTGGGGTCTCTGGTGTCCAGAGAGATCAAAGCTCTTGCCTCTGAACCTCCTCCTGATTTGACCCCCTAGAATCTGTGCCCCAAAATTGCTTTTATTTCTGTTTGGCTTTTTGGGCAATTTAGATCTCACCCTATCTCTCTGCTCCAAGATTCAGGGCTGGTTGCAAGGATACAAAGCAAAATTAATACCATAGTTGAAAGCTTAGCAAAAGATCCATGCTTTTATCATGAAACATTGAGTCCTCCCACTCCTTGCAGGGGGCAGCCTACAAATAATCACCCCTGAATCCCCCTGAGTAGTTATGGGTCATCCAAGAGGCAACCGCAGATCCTCCAGAACTGACCCACGGAATCCCTATACTTTGTCCCACTCAACAACCTGGTTCTTGAAAGAATCCATTCTCTGACTTAGCAGAGTTCACTGAATGATAAATCAATGAAAGGGGACAGATTCACACAAGACATGAAGCTTCAAGGAACTAAACCAAGGCTAAGCCTACCCAGTTGTTGAACATTCTGCAAATACAGCTGTTCTATTTGAAGTTTTCAGTTTCAATTTATTGCCATCAAAGATGTTTGCAACCCAACAGGTCAAGAATGTTCTGCAGACCCAGCTGTCTCCTCCTCCTTTTCTCCTGGCCATCTTCTCATTGGGCTTTCTCTCTTCCCACATAGGAGTGAAAGGCTGTTGTTGTCCCAATGATTGGCTGCCCATGAATGGGTTTTGCTACAAGGTCAATGATCAGCTCAAGACCTGGAATGACGCAGAGGTTAGAAGTGTTGTGTGTCTGTGAATCCCTTAGCCCAGGAAGAGGAGAGGCCTAGGGGGAGCCTTGCATTGTCCCCAAATCCACTCTGGCTGGGATGAAGTGGAGGGCCACGAAGCTGGTGCATGAACAGATAGCAAAGGTCATGATTTTAGGATTGTCTGGGATGCAGATATTCTATGGACTATACACTGGTTTAGGCTTTCGTGACCCATACCTGTTGAGCAGTGTTGAGCTTCAAGGTTGAGTGACCACCTTGTAGACAACAGATCTCCTGATGTTTCATTGACAACATGGATGGCATCTTCAGATCTCCTTGCCTCTTAAGTGATGGCGATCACAGATTATAAAGAAATGAATCATGAATTTAAGCAAGGAACTATTCAAGAGCTGCACACACTAGCAAAGACATCCATGGTGCTCAACAGAGTGAAGAGGGTGGCTAGAACCATCTGGTGGCAATGCTCTTTTCTCAAATGGACACACACACATACACACAAATGGTTCTTCTCTGCTTAACAAATGACTTCTCCTGTTGTCGTTCTCTCCCAGATGTTGTGCAGGAAATTCAACCCAGGTTGCCACCTCGCCTCCATCCATAGCAAGGAAGAGGCAGCTGACTTGGCCGAGTACATCTCTGACTATATGAAAAGTAATGGAAATGTCTGGATTGGACTGAACGACCCACAGAAAGTAGGTCCCTTTCCATTGGGAATGTTGTTTCAATTCATTTGTTATTGTTCCTAAGGGGCTTTTTGAAGGATCTCCAATGGGAGGTAAGGATCTGTCTGGTAAAAACTCTTGCCTGTTTCTCCTGCCCCCTCACCAACCCTTCCTGCCCAGCTGAAGAACTGACTGCTGCCTTTAAAGTCCCAAAGGGAGGGATTTTATCCCAAATTCACCTCGGGATTAGGATGTTCTCACGCACTCAGAGCCTCCTTCAGTCTGCCTTCCTCTCTTTAGAGCATTGAATCTGATTAGAGCCTCTGATCTTTTATCTTCTAATTTCTACCTCTTTTATCTAACCACTGATACAATGAGTCCCAAGTTGTAAAATATTCTGTTTCTTCCTTGTCTTTTATTTTTAATGTCAATCTATCCATCTCTGCACAATCTAATATTTTTCGGATTATATTTTCATCACAATTACAATTGTGCAATTACAATTCTCAATGCTCTCAGCACATGTAGTATTAGATATGTATTCCCTTTATTATAAGTTTCAAGTATTATACCTAACAGAAATATTTCTGGCTTTAAGTCTCTATCAGTGAGGGTACCTTTTCAGGACCAAGTGCAAAACATGGAATGTGCCGGAAACCCAAAGACCAGGTAGACGGTGTCCATGTGCACGCTGGAAACCAGAAGAGCCCCTGGTGATGGCTTGCCTGCCCACAAAGAGGGCTCACGCGTGCCATAGGTTCACCGTCACGGGTCTATTTGTTGCTTTATCCTTTTTTCTAACCATGTATGTATTTTCATCCAGATTTTTTTCCCATGGGACATGTCCACCACATATGACAATAAGAGCCCCGTATCTGATTGCATTTCCAACATTTAGTGGACATGTTTCAGAACATACCTATAAAACATTAAGCACATATGGAATGTAAAGAGAAAAACCAGTAAAAAATATTTAAAAAAAAAACATTCACCAATTTTAACCCTGGTTAGCTGTTCCAGATCAACTGAGGAGAGAGAGACACATGCAGAGAGAAAGAGAGAGAGAGACAGAGAGAGAGACACACACACAGAGAGAGATTTGCCCCTTTCCAATTTGTCATCTCCTGGGCCATGTAGAGAGAGATCCCCCTTCTCCCTTGGCTAACATGGTTTCCCTGTCATTCCAGAAACGCGTCTGGGAGTGGACAGACAGATCCAGCACTAACTACTTCTCCTGGAATTCAGGAGAGCCCAACAACGAACATAACAAAGAGTACTGTGTTGAGCTCTTGGCCAAGACAGGTAAGCCAAGGTGAAGGGGAGGGTAGTGAAGAGGCACTTTCAACAATCAGGACTTATTTCATCCATCTTGGGACACCCACCAGCTGGCCAGGGATGACCTTTGTTGACCTCTTAGATTCTAAGCTCTCACAGCCTGACCCTCTCTAAAGCCAAACAAAACGGCCATGCAATAAACAAACATGGAATTCACCACTTCTTCAAAAACCCAAACTTAATTATTACAGCGCCATAATTAAACCAACCATCTCCACCTTAACCTACTTCTTGAAGGTCATTATTGTAACAGACAGGAACCTTCACTCCATCTTGCCTTCCTCTTCTCCTGGGCAGGAAGTCTTCTTCTCAACGAAGAACTTTCTTCTTCCTTTTGAAGAAGACTCTCCAAAAGACCCTTGCTAAAAGAAACCCCTGGATAGCCCAGGGGCCAATCCTCCTTGCCTTAAAAACTGGGAAACAAAGCGTAAGAGTTCACTCCCAACTCACTTGCCGTAGTGAGGATCAGTTGGGTGTGCAGGGCAAACCAATTGGAAGGCTGGTCCAAACTGAACATGAAACTTTCTCTTTTGCCGTCCAGGATTTCTCAAATGGAATGATGTACCTTGTGAGTCCGTTCATCCTTTCCTCTGCCAGTGCAGATTGTAGTGCAAATCTCTCCTTTTCTTGCTCCCGAGTGAGCGAAGCACCTGGTGAAGTCTGGAGAAGCAACGAAGCTCTGCACCCCTTCACTTCATGGATGCTTTCTGTAGCTTTGATCTGGCCTTGCTCCTCTTGATGGGGCCGAAAGTCAAATAAATTCTGCTTTAGCACGACTGGCCTTGTTTATTTTGGAGACGATTGAGGTCCAAAGCTTTAAGACCTCTGAATCTCCTTCAGGGCGAGGCTCGGCTTTATCTTTTAAAAGGCCGTAGAGATTCTCCGTCTTCCAGGTCAGGATTGTCCCAAAGGTGCTTTTTCAGGAGGCAGCTGGGCTTTCTGGTTTTTTCTTTTGAAGAGGTTTCACTTCTCATCCAAGAAGCTTCTTCAGCTCTGACTGGATGGTGGGGAAGGAAAGGATTTCTAGTCTTTGCAGACAGCTGGTCATTTGCATCCGTTTAGAGGGTCCTTGGAGGTTTCTCTGTGTCCTCAGGGTCACCTGAGTGGTTCTTGTGGTCTGCAATTTTTCCTCTGGAAATCCATTCCTACTCCCACCCCATTCAAAGGGCGTTTATCCCAAATTGTATGGCTAAAAGTCCGTAGAGATTCTCAATATCTCTTAAGAAGGACCATCCATTGATGCTTTGATGCTTTCTTGCACGTCCACCTCATTTTCATTGAAGGGTTGAGAATCTGTTGGGCTTCAGCACCATTTTACTGCCACCAAAGGTGACTGGCACGTGACCCCCACTCTTCTGGGAAAGGCATAGGGGTGGGATGGTGGAGTGGGTCCCTGAAGGCCTGGGCTGTGCTGGACTACTCTGTCAGGGTTGCAAAGATCTGAACCCCCTCTGGATGGCGTCAAAGAGCCTGTGATGCCTCTAGCCCACAGCGCCCTCTCTGGCAGTCCAAGGTCTTAGTGGGAACCCCCCCAGCTCTCTCTCTGCCGGCAGCCTGTGTTGCTTCCATATCTGGGGAGAAGAGCCCCACTTCTGAGGGATTCTTTTCACCTGGCCTTTGAAGGCATTGGGGGCCTTCGCTCTCTCAGCTAGGTTGTTTTCTTGTAGATATGACCCAACTAGGAAACATCATCGGTGCTAGAAGGAAGGGGAGTTTGCAGGGGGGAGGAGGAGGACTGCGGGGCCCTTGGTGGTCTCTGAGCTTTGTTCTTTTCTTGCAGACATTTCATGACCCAACTAGAATGGTGCAGTGACCTAGAGGTGGAGCTCTCGCCTCACAATCAGGAGGCTGTGAGTTCAATCCTAGGTAGCGACAGTTATTTCTCTCTCTGGGCACAATGAGTAAATATCAGCTGTGAATTCTGAATTGGTGACAGGAAGGGCATTTGGACAGTAAACACTGAGCTCCATTCAGTTGCCCCGATTAAGAGACAAAACCAAATCATGACTCAATTAGGTAACACCATCAGGGTTAGAAGGGAGGGGGATTTGGAGAGGGGAGGGGGAGGAGGAGGAGGAGGAGGAGGAGGAGGAGGAGGAGGCTCTACTTCCCCTCCTCACCCTCACCAAAAAAGGTGAAACAGAAGAAAGGAAAAATGTATAGATATTTTTCTGCTCCATTCTGTGCTCTTTTTTCTGATCTCTGCTTGGGATACTCAGTGGTCATCAGCCCAAATGGCAGGCAAAAAAGACTTTGTGGAGAGAGGGGGCTTGGTGGCTACTTTTCCCCTTTTGGTATCTCAAATCATTTTTCAAATTCTAGCAAAGAAAAAAGAGGGAAGCCCGGACTTCCTTTTTTTCTCAGTCCTTTCTACATTAACTCCAAATGTAGGACTGCAAATCCTCTTTTTTGCAGATTGAGTTTTTTTAATATTTTTTTAATTTTTAAAAGAATGAAGGGAGCCAAAGATTACCGCCTTGGAAGGATTGTTTTTAAAAAGGGAAACAGGAAAAGCGGGAGGGGGGGAGCCTTGGAACTCCTGGGAGCGATTGCATGAAGAATTTATATTTACCAACAAAGAAAGAAAGGGAGACTAGTATAGATCTATTTCAAGCTATTTAGCTCTCGTCAGCTAGCCGTGCCCTTCTGGGATTCGAACCTGGGCTACTTATGTATTAGGTAGATGTATTAACCTCTAAGCCACGAGCTCTCCTCGCTTTGTCAGCTACACCAGGGGGGAGATTACGTGTCTTTTCCACTGAGCCCGGTCTATCAGGGCAACCTGGTCTACCCAAATATGGGACGGAGCATCCTGCTTCCAATTGCATGAGGAATGACATAGTTGTGGAAAAACACACGAGCACCACAGTGATTTGCAAACAATGAGCCATGCAAGCATTCGTGCCCACAGAGGAACCAAATTACACCTGCACCAAATGTAAATTACCTAGGTGGATGACTGGAAGAAAAAGCAAAGAAAGCATCCACAAGAAAACCAGCAAATGCACAGAGCACCGAGGAGCCCACATTTCAACCCTGAGCTACAAATATCCTCCTTTATTGGTAATGACTGTTTGGCTTTCTGACCAAGCAGATTTTTTGAATGGATTTTTACGTGAGTGGACTGCACCACAATGGAGGTGTGTGATAAGACTTTTCCTTCTTTGCATATTAATTTCTGCTAGGTCATAATGTTGCTCCTTGTGGGGAAATCCTGGTGGCTTTCTGGTCCTTCCCTATTTTTCATCTTGATCCTAGATCGAAGCCCAGGCAGAGGTGATGGGACCACCGGCTGAAGGGAAGGGAAACCATTCAATTCAGGGGAGATAACATTTCAGGGCAAACCCTAAGCTCTATATTTACCTTTTCCCGAGGGAATGCAAACAGTCTGGTGAAATTCTTGTAATACAGGTGCCCAGCAATAAAATATCTGCTTAAGTCTATTTATGGAGTGGATCTGTTTACTTTCACCTGACTGGAGATGCTGAGTTTTGTGTATATAAACTGCACCTGTATTTGTCCTTGATCTTTATCTTTATTTGCACAGCAAATAGGTTGCCTGCAGGCTTCTGAGTCTCAAAATCAGAAATAAACCTGAGCAATAAAATAAGGAAACTGACAGTGTTTCCACCACATTAAAAAAAAAGAAGAAGAAGCTTCACTCAAAAGCAAAATGAACAAGAAGTGGGAATGCAGACAATGGCTGAGGTTCTTCCCAGAGCCCAGCTTCAGATTTCCACAAAAAATGAGAGGCTTCCTTGCTTGAAAGTTGAGTCATTGCAACTGGACTAATTTTTGGTTGCTAGTTTGAGACATTTTGCTGTTCATCCAAGCAGCTTCATCAGTCAGAGGGAGCCAGTTGTGGATTTCCTTTGGAGTTTGACCTCTGATCTAAGAGCCCTTGGAGTTGACCTGTCCCCAATGGGAAGAGGGAACCTTTTCAGGAAAGTAGCGTCCTTACTCTGCAGCTCAAACACACTGGGAGAGACACGACCTCTGGCTCCCCAGACCCTACAGGAGGCGCCAATGAACCAATGACACAAAGACTCTAAAGTAAGGTGACCAGACGTCCCGCTTTTGGCGGACAGTCCCGCTTTTGAGCAATTTGTCCCGCGTCCCGCGGCGTTTTAAAAAAGTCCCGATTTTTCATTCTGCCTCCTGAATCCCCGCTGCTGGCTAGAGGGAAAAAACCTGTTTAAACTCTTGCCGCGGGGCTTCAAAGGGCCGCCCTAGGTTGATTAGCTCGGCTTCCCCCTCTCAGCTGATTTGCACAGGGCTCTGCTCTTGCTAAATTGCTCAATTTTTTTCCCCTCTTTGTGCAAACCAAGCTCAAAATGAAATTGAAAGTAAAACAGGCTGTTGGCTTTGCGGTTTGCTTGCAACGTTGGAAAATTAGGCAGCAGATTTATTTTCCTTTTCCTCACCAAAAAAGGTAAGTGCAAACAATGGAAAATTATTTAGGGCAAAAGAGGAGAGTTCAAGATTCTAAAACACAAAAGAAAAAAAAGCTCTTTTTAACTAGGGAATTGTAATAATTGAGATATTATTAATTGTATACTGTGTTGAAAGCAGAAATGGTTAAGTTGTGGTTTGGAGGAATATATGGGGGAAATTATTTGGTTTATTATTATTGGTAAGTATAATTAATTGATTTGTAAGAAATTGGATTGCATGGAAATAATTGGAATATTCATGTTCATATTGATTAATATACAAAAAGATAGTTATATAACTAATTGATTTATATTAAAATGTTGAATTTGTATTAAACAACTGTATTACATAATTACATAATTAACCAATGTGAGGATGGATATAAAAATAGATGACAATGGGAAGGGGTATAAAATAGAATAGAAGGGAAAAATTGAATTTGATTAAGATTAGAGATGAGGATGAAGGGTAATATTGTTTTTTTTTAAAAAATAGATGAGGAATAAATATGGCAAAAAGGAAATATAGAAATTGTAAATTTAATTGAAATGACTAAACACTGTTTAAATTTGTGAACCAGCCAAATATTCTGTTCAAAGAAAATACATTGTATGTATGTGTGTTCTAATTATTGCTATTTATTCATATTTGTTCTCTTTTATTCTTTAAAGTTTAACAATTCATTCTTTATCTTAATATCTTTATATTTGTTTGGGGTTGGCTTTCTTCCCTTTCATCTTTTTTATTGTACAGCAATCTTTCTCCTCAAACCTACCACCTCTCTTTTCTTTCCTTCTTACTTTCTCTTCCCCACCTCTTCTTCTCCTCCCTACTTCCTCTTCCTTTCTCCTTCTCCTCCTCTCTTCCTCCCTCTCTTAACCGTCACTCCTACTCTAATTTCCCTTCCCTTCCTTCATCCCTCTCAATTACTGTATCCTTTTATGCATATGGACTACTCAGAGGGCTGAAAAAGTTATTTTTGACTGGTCCTCGCACTTTTGACCAGTCCTCGAACTTACGACTGTCCTCACATTTTACATTTTTGCCCTATCTTGTCATCATGGTGAAGAGAAGCAGTTGTGAAATGAGTGACATGGTTGTTAAGAATGCTGCACGGGCATAAATATGAGGATGGTCATAAGTGTGAGGACCAGTCAAAAGTGCGAGGACCTGTCAGAAATGACTTTTTTCAGCCCTCTGGTTAGTCCTTTTGTGCATATGGACTACTCAGAGGGCTGAAAAAGTTATTTTTGACTGGTCCTCGCACTTTTGACCAGTCCTCGAACTTACGACTGTCCTCACATTTTACATTTTTGCCCTATCTTGGCACCATGGTGAAGAGAAGCAGTTGTGAAATGAGTGACATGGTTGTTAAGAATGCTGCACGGGCATAAATGTGAGGATGGTCATAAGTGTGAGGACCAGTCAAAAGTGTGAGGACCTGTCAGAAATGACTTTCCAGCCCTCTGAGTAGTCCCTATACACATAGCCATGGCCACCCGGTCACATGACCAGCTAGCCACGCCCACCCAGTCACATGGCCTCCAAGCCACGCCCACACAATAAGCCACGCCCACAATGGTGTCCCTCTTACCAATGTTAAAATCTGTTCACCTTACCCTATACACATAGCCATGGCCACCCAGTCACATGACCAGCTAGCCACGCCCACCCAGTCACATGACCAGCTAGCCACGCCCACAAAATAAGCCACGCCCACAATGTCCCTCTTTACCAATGTTAAAATCTGGTCACCTTACTCTAAAGAGATGACAAACTTAACTCTGCCTTCCAGCTCAGCTACAGGTGGGGTGGGGGCATGCTGCAGCTCTGCTCATCTAAGCATTGCCACCTGATGGGAAGGGCAGGAAGCTGCCTCCCTACTCTAGAACAATCTTCTTGCTGAGCTACAACGGACTCGACTCTTTCATGAAGGCAGTTAAGACCAGGGTCTTCCCTCAAGCATTTGGGTCTCTGCTTGGGGGATTCTGGGAGTTGAAGGCCACACTTCTTAAAGTGACTTGTCTTGAAAAACACTGTATTAATCTATTCTTTTTCGATTGCAGGTTTGGCACATCTGGATTACTTTTTAAGATGAAATACAATTGATGTTTTGGGTTGTATGTTTATTTTTGTTGCCACTCAGAGTCCCCTTGGTTGAACTGGGTGGCCATGGAAATTCACCTCTCCAGCTTTGAAATGGCAGAAAGAAGCAGTTAGACTAGGTTCCCTCTGCGACAAATGCTGAGACGAGGAAGTACCATTTTGTGAGACTCTAGAAATGTCTAACTTTTGCCTCTTAAGGTTCTCCAATAAGTACTTTAAATCAGCCACACCAAAAATTATCCTTCAATAGGAGCATTATTCCCAGGATCTGTATGGATATCTCCCTTCCCTTCCCTTTTTTCCCTTCCCTTTTTTGCTTTTCCTTCCCTTCCTGTCTCCCCACCCCTCCCTTCCCTTCCCCTCCCCTCCCCTTCTTTCCTGGAATTACAGGTGCAAACTTCAACCCCACTAAGAAATGATGGCTTTTCATACTGACCAGATGAAGGATAGAGACCAGCACAAAACTCATTTTTAGACATATTTTTGGGTTTGCCAGAGCTCCACCTGGATCATGTCCCATCATTGTGGTAGGTGTGGTAGGTGTGAAGGGTGAAAGTCTCGTGATCTAGTACTGGGCTTGCACAATTGAACCTGTTCCTGCTGCAAATCTCCCATCTACGAGCATGCTATGTTGGAATACTGTAACTCCTCTAGGATTTGTGGAATTCCTGGCCTCACCAGCTCACTCAGAATGTGAGTGTGCAATCTTTGCCTGAACTGGTCAATGAAGGCTGAGTCAATCCAATCAAGATCTGCTGCCAATCATTTAAAATCAGCTAGGTAGAGCCTTACTCTTCTGTTGGCCTTGCTTAAGCTGCCAAATCTTGTAACTGCTGTCATTGCTTGGATTGGGTCTCTGAAAATCGCTTGGAATCTCCCCTTGAAGTTCTCATAATTATCCATGACTTGGTCATTGCCCTCTTTGATTGATCGTGGCCACTTGGCCACAAATTCCTTTAACAAACTTGACATAAAAGATATCCTTGTGGGGGGGTGTAGAAAATTCTGCAGCTAAAAACCAAAGAGTTTGACCGCAGATTCTTCCTCCCTCGAATGGACTCTCAGCTGGAGCATCTCCACTTCCACTCCAGCTGGTGATTCTACCATAATTAAGATTATTTAAAGAAACACAATTGTTCAGAGCTCTAATAAAAATCTTGGTGCAGTTTCACCACACAGTGAAAGAACTTTGAAGCATTTGCATTTTGGTGTTCAAAAATGAAAATGAAGATTTTTAAATCTAGAGCAGATTGTGCATATGAGAGAGAGAGAGAGAAAGAAAGAAGAGAGAGCGAGAGAAGAAGAGGAGAGAGGAAGAGAAACACCATTTCAGACAGGTGGCTGTCCAGTGGTGAAGGACCCACAACTTCTGAAGGAAAGCCATGCCACTGATTAATTCTTCTAACTGTCAGGAAATTCTCCTTAGTTCCAGGTTGCTTCTCTCCTCAATTAGTTTCCATCCGTTGCTTCTTGTCCTGCCTTCAGGGGCTTGACTCCCCCTTCTTTGGGGCAGCCCCTGAGATATTGGAACACTGCGATCACGTCTCCCCTGGTCCTTCTTTTTCTAGACTGGCCATGTCCAGCTCTTGCAACCGTTCTTCATATTTTGTCTCCCTGCCCTTAATCATCCTAATTGCCCCCTGCAAAGCTATTTTATACAAATTAAATAGCTTTGCATGGGAATGCATGGGTGAGATAGTTGGGCTAAGCAGAGGAGTAGCCTCATGAAAACACGAGGCCAGAGGCATGGCTTGCTTTGTGTAACTCCCACTGTGCTCTAGGCACAATGAACGCGGGTGGGAGCAAAACCACAGGCTCACAAATATTGCTCAAATATTACTGAACAAAGATGTAGGACATGCCAACTGGCTGAAATGACAGCTACGTTATGAAAGCTTCTGAGCAACCTATGTACACGTGTCTCTGTCTGTGTTTCTAACTGCTGTGGGGGTTTAAGCCAGTAACGGGAAAGGAAGGTAACACATGACACTCCAATGTTCACATTGGTGGGTTTTGTGGTTTGGGGATATAAAAGACCTGGCTGACGGGAACCTCCCCATGTCCTCCTTCTGCACAGAGCCACATCATCCTGCTTCAATCTCCACCTCGGGGTGTTTAGTTGGGCTTCAACACCCCAGACAAGGACCCAGAGTTAGACTGAAGCATCCTAAGGGACAGGTGAGTGCTGCTCTCCTACCTGGGGGGACATGGCAGGTGAGGTCCTTGCATCAGATCATTCTTGCATGTCTCTCTCCTTCTGAAGAGACCTCTTTAAAGTTGCTGCAGGTTCCAGAAGGGGCTCTGTGGGATGGTCCCTCAGGCAGGGAGGAAGGGTGATCTCTGAGAGAGAGAGAGAGAGAGAGAGAGAGAGAGAGAGAGAGAGAGAGAGAGAGAGAGAGAGAGAGAGAGAGAGAGAGAGACACAGAAGAGTCTTTCTAAGGGAGCCTCCTGCTGATTACATAGCAATGCAGAATCTAGTGTGACCCACCAAGGGTGTTTCATGACCAAGGAGGGAGAAACAGCTGGTCACATGCAAAAATGTGAGACCAATTCTGGGACTTTCAGCTTGGTCCCAGTTTGATGTTGGGTCCTCCTTCCTGAGGGGGACTTTGCGTGAGCCTAGCTCCCCCTCCCCCACTTCTTCCCCTCTCTGCAGGAAAGGAAGGAAGACGATGGGGCGAATCATCTTTCTGAGCTTCAGCTTGCTGGTCGTGGCCTTCTTCCTAAGTGGTGAGTTTGAGAAGGGTCTCTCGTATCTGGAGAGGTTGGGTCTCTTGCCTCTGGACCCCTTTATGGTTTGATCCCCGAGAATCCTCTCTCTGAAGTTGCTTTTTATTTCTGTTTTGCTTATTGTGCTGGCTCCTACTTAAGTGATTATCCACTAGGAGTCCAAGAGCTTCTTGCTACTACTACTCTGGAGCCTGACACCACCTATTCTACACCTGTGCATTTGGTTTTTTCTTTCCTAAATGTAGAAATGTACTTTTCTCACCACTGAATTTCATTTTGTTAGATGAGGCCCAATGTTCAAATCTGATGAGCTTCTTCCATATCTTGAAGTGTTCTTGAAGTGAAGATTCTCAGTCATCCAGGTCATGGTTGTCCCAAAGATGCTTTTTTCAGGAGGCAACTGGACTTTCTTGTTTTTTCTTTAAAGATGTTTCACTTCTCATCCAAGAAGCGTCTTCAGCTCTGACTGACTCATCCTTCCCTTCCCCACCATCCAGTCACAGCAACACAGGTGCCAAAGGGTGCTGTTGTCCCCATGATTGGCTTTCCAGGAATGGGTTTTGCTACAAGGTCCACGATCAACTGAAGACCTGGAAGGATGCAGAGGTTAGAAGTGCTGTGTGACCATGAATATTCTAGTCCAAGTGGAGAAGACGAGGCAGAGCCTTGTGAAGCACCCAAGTATCCTCTGGCTGGGTTGAAGACCCATCAAGGGAGATCTGGATGGGCGCATGAAGAGTTGTCTTGTGGCGAGATGGGCAGCAAACAAATGTAATAAATAAATAAAATGAAAAGGTAGCAAAGATCATAAGTTTGGAATAAACCAAAATGCAAGTATCATATGGACTAAATTCATATTCAAATTCAGAAAAGAGCTGGAAGGGACCTTAGAGGTCTTCTAATCCAACCCCCTGCTCAAACAGGAGACCCTCTACCATTTCAGACAGGTGACTGTCCAATCTCTTCTTAAAAACCTCCAGTGATGGAGCCCCCACAACTTCTGGAGGCAAGCTGGTTGCACTGGTTAATTGTTCTCACTTTGTACTGTATAGGCTTTCATGGCCAATATCTGTTGGGTAGGGTTGAGCTTCAAGGTTGAGTGACTATCTTGTAGATGTCAGATTTTCTGATCTTACACTGGCAACTCTGGCTGTCATCTTAAGACCATCTTGCCTTTGAGTTTAACTGATGGATCAAAGTCAGGAACTCAAGTTCTCTGCTCTCCTCTTGTGGCTAAGCAGAACTTGACAGAGAAGGTCTGGTTGCCATGTCCTGACTTGGTTAGTTATCCAGGTTACAACCTGCAGACTCCAGCAAGGACATCTATGGGATTCAACAAAGATGGTAGCCAGGACCATATAATCAGATCACTCCTGTTTCCTCCCATGCACAAACACGAACACACAAATGTGTTCCTTCTCTGCTGAATAAGTGTCTTTCTCTGTTGTTGCTCTTCCCAGATGTTCTGCAGGAAACACAAGCCAGGCTGCCACCTCGCCTCCATCCACAATATGGCAGAGTCAGCTGACTTGGCCGAGTACATCTCTGACTATCTCACAAAGAAGGGGAATGTCTGGATTGGATTAAACGATGCACAGAAGGTGGGTCCTTTCTATCGTTCATATTTATCAATCCCTTTTACAGAGCTTTTTTTTTTTTTTTTTTTAATTTGATTTATATGCCGCCTTTCTCCAGAGACTCAGGGCGGCTTACAATGCGTTAAGCAATAGCCTTCATACTTTTGTATATTTATACAAAGTCAGCTTATTGCCCCCACAAACTGGGTCCTGGATCCTTTTTGAAGGATCCTCCCATAGATCTGAACTAGACTGTGTTGTTTCTCCTTGTCATATAATATATGTGGGTACGTGCATAATTTTGTATTTATTTATTCATTTTGTCGTGATTATGTAGTGTATATTGGAGGTGAAGTCCCTTTGAGAGCTGTATGTAATGAAATTTCATTTTAGTGTATGCCGATTAGTGTACATTCAAAGTGACAATAAAGTTAGTCTAAGTCTCTAAGAAGGTCGGGATCTCTCTGCCAAAATACCTCGCCTTGGACAAAACCTCTGGAAAATGTTACTTACTCCAATCCTGTCTCTCCTTCCCCTCACTAACCTTTCCTGCCCAGTTGAAGAACTGACAGCTGTCTTTAACAGTTCCCGCTCTGACCCCCATCTCAGCATCCAGGCCTTGTCTCACACTCAGCTCCCCCTTCAGTCTGCCTTCCTCTTGAGGGCCCATTGACTGGCCTCTGAAGCTTCTTGGATCTCTGGTGAGCCATTAACATGGTGGGGTTCATTCCTTCCCCCTTGATCTATATCTCCGGAGTTTTGCTGGTGGTCTCCCACACAAGGGCTCTTTGATTTTGAGCCTAATTATCTTTCTGATATCAACCCGTATCGGCCAGGGCTGTCACCAAGTTGGGCATGAGGCAATGCGGCTCTCAAGCTAAACTGGTGACTTCATGGACACCTAAAGATAATTTACTTCTGAGTCATTTTTTTTCCTCTGGATCTTCTGATCCTCACCTTAGTTGGCTTCTCTGCCCTTACAGAAACGTGTCTGGGAATGGACAGACAGAACCTGCATTGACTACTTATCCTGGAAACCAGGAGAGCCAAACAACGAATTGGAAAAAGAGTTCTGCGTTGAGCTCAGGGCCGACTTCGGTAAGCCAAGGTGATGGGGAGGAAGGGGAAGATGTCCTCCTCAACAATGAGGACCTATTGATGCATCTTGGAACATTCACCGGTTGGCAACTGATGACCTTTGACGAACAAAAATCAAGGCCATTTATTGATCCCTTGGATTCTAAGTTCTCACAGGCCAACCCAAACACAACACAGTCCAGTACGGCCAAGTGAACACAGAATTCCCATGGGACACTTCTTCTGTGCAAGCTACGATGTCTAACGGAAGGGCCTATTTGCAAGCCAATATACTGGTACCCATCCAGGGGTGTCCTTAGCACATGGTTAAAAAAAGGTCACCATAGGGGCCATGACAGTGAAATCAAAGCCCCACCCCCACCCCCAATTTTCAGCTCTTTGGTCGAAAGAGATGGACCAAAAACTCAAGGTCGCTGCTCTCCTCTTGTAGCTAAGCAGAATCTGACAGGCAAGGTCTGGTTGCCATGTCCTGACTTGGCTAGGTTAGTTATCTAGGTTACAACCTGCTGAACCCCAAGTCTGTTTTAGCAGAAGAGGTTCTCCACCTGGGGTATCCTCGTGTCCTCCTGCCAATGAGGGAGAAGCCAGTGAAATGAGTCACTTCGAAAGAGGGATCAAACTTTCTCTTTTGCCCCCAGATCATAAGCAGTGGAACGATGAAGACTGTGCATCCTTGCGTGCTTTTATCTGCCAGTGCAAATACTAGTGCAAGCGGCTCCTTTGCCTGCTCCAGAGTGAGTGAAGCACTTGCTGAAGCCTGGAGAATCAAGGAAGCCCCCCTGCATGCCAAAATCTCTGCTCTGCTGCACCCCTTCGCTTCATGAATGCTTTTTGTAACTTGCATCTGACTTTGCTCATTCTGGTGGGCCAGAAGATCCAATAAATTCTGTCTTGGTATGACCGGCCTCCTTTATTTTTGAGCCCCAGGAGATGGTTGAGGTCTAAAGTGCAAGACCCCAGAATGCAAGCCTTGGCATTAAAGTGGGGGAGGGTGTCTCTTAAGAAGGACCATCCATTGATGCTATGATGCTTTCTTCTTCTATGTAGGTCAGCCTCTTTTCTCAAGCATCTTCCATAAGGAAAATTGGGGGACAATAATAATATTTTCTGCTCCCCTGTCCAATGCCCACACATCTGCCTAGGGCAGATCAGGAAATGTCTCCCAAACACACACACACCCCGAAATGACAGGCCCCTGCATAGCAAAAGGAAGCCACCCCTTATGATGACACAAATTGACCCAAAGTATGGCTGCTACGATCATTAGAAACCATTATTACTGTGTGGAGACTGAGAGCCTTTGGTCCTCCACAAAGTGGGAGGACTGTTGAATGGTAAAATCCCCTGGGACATCTACCACCACCACCACCACCTCAAGCCAGGTCGCACATCAACCACAACCTCAAAATAAGATAGAAATAAACAATTAAACTTTTTCCGCCTGCATTGATATAGTACTTGGGCTGCAGTTGATTAAACGTGTCTCTGCAGGAAATGGAATCCTCTCAAAATAAGGGAAATCTTTTATTGCCATAGTGCTCCCTGATGCTTGAACCCTCATAAATTTTCACACCAAGAAGAGATTTGCACATCTAAGATCAATGCACACCACAGGACAAAAAAAAAACATAGAATAATAGAATAATAGAGGTCTCCTAGTCCAACCCCCTGCTCAATAGAATTGAATAGAAACAGAATTCTTTATTGGCCAAGTGTGATTGGACACACAAGGAATTTGTCTCTGGTGCATACGCTCTCAGTGTACATAAAAGAAAAATAAAATATATTCATCAAGAATCATAAGATACAACACTTAGTGATAGTCATAGGTTACTAATAAGCAAGCAAATCATACTAGGAAACAAATAAAAACAATATAAATCGTAAATATCCAATCAACATGGTTATAGTCATAAGTGGGAGGAGATAGATAGTAGTAAGGGTGAGAAGAATAATAGTAATACAGTCTTAGTAAATAGTTTGACATTGTTGAGGGAGTTAAGTTGTTTAGCAGAGTGATGATGTTCGGGAAAAAACTGTCCTTGTGTCTAGTTGTTCTGGTGTGCAGTGCTCTATAGCGTCGTTTTGAGGGTAGAAGTTGAAACGGTTTATGTTTCAATTTATACATAAATTTATGAAATTTATGAAATTTATGAAGCATAAATAAATTTATGTTTCAATTTCAAAAACAGGAGACCCTATATCATTTGAGACAAATGGTTGACCAGCCTCTCTTGAAAAGCCTCCAGTGATGGAGCCGCCACAGCTTCTGGAGCCAACCTGTTCCATTGGTTGATTGCTCTCACTGTGCCCCACACTCTCGGCTCATATTGAAGTGATTGTCCACTAGGATTCCAAGATCCCTCTCACAATTACTGGCATTTAAGCCAAATTTCACCCAGTCTATAGTTGGTTTTTCTTTCTCGTCTTCTACATTTGGCATTCTGACCTTGTAATGTTGTAATTGCTGGACTGTCAAAATTATACTGTCAAAATAAATCTTACCACCAGTTTAAGCCGGGGTCGTGGGCTTATTCATCTGACAGTGGAATGGACAAGGAATTTACTTCCAACAGAGCTATAATGAATGACAAAGGTATGATAGAATTCAGTCTAAATCTTAGTTTCTCTAATGCCCCGATTTTAACTTTTAACTTTTTGCATACACTCCCAGCATCCTTTGCTCATCCTTTCCAGGACCCCCACGGCTTGGGACGTGCACTCTGAGTAAAAGCACTCTGACTAAAAGTTCGCTCAGACTTTTATCTGAAACGTTTCTTGGTTAATTACGACATATCAATCTTCGTTATTTCTTTCACAAGGTTGGTGTTGTCACACTTGATGGATTATGTTTTTCACTTTTGGCACAAGATTACATGTGTCGTTGTACAAGTTTACTCATAACAAAATATTCCTAACTGTATCTCATGTCGGAAGTTTCTTGCTCTGCACCTGGGGCTCATTTGTCAGTTTCGCAAAGAAGCCAGCAAAGAAAAGGGAAGCTTACACAATAATTTAAACAGTTCTTGCTTTTGGTGGCGTGTTTCTACATGTTTTGATTATTTCCTGGCTGACTCAGTGTAGAGGATATTTTTAGTCTTTTCCTTTCTCCTTTTTTTTTTTTTTGTTAGCCAAGAGGAAAACCACAAAACCGCAAACCAGCAGGGGGCGCCCTCCCTGAACTGTCCCTGACCTGCTTTTTCTGGGATTCCTAGAGGGCACTTTGCTGTGGCTTCCCCAGGATTTAAAGGGGACTTTCCCTATTTCATTATTTCATGTTCCTCATTGTTTTATATTCTTAAGCAATCAAGCTGTCAATGCCAGCATGCTCTCCGTTCAATTTGGAACAAGCCACTTTTTTTCCCCAACAGAAACTGGCAGTGATTTTTAGATAATTCATTTTATTGTTTTAAAATGCTTTAAGTATTTTGATTGTTATAGACAAGTTAGCACCCACCCTCTCCTAGAAGAATGAAATATTTTAGGAACTATTTAAAAAGGCAGAATATATTTCCCTGGATGAGAAATGGAGAAACATGTTTTAAAGACAAAGCAGCTTCCTGCCTCCCCCCACCTTTCTCAATGGACCAGCATCTGCAACACAGTAGGACCAGTGGTGGGTTGCTCCCGGTTCGCACCGGTTCACAAGAACCAGTAGTAAAAATTTGCAGTAATTTGGAGAACCGGTAATAACATTGGCTGGCCACGCCCCCGAACCGGTCCCCAGCCTGGTCGCTGCTCGCTTACCCCGCCCACTTCATCAGTACAACCTCTTTGGCCGAAAAAAATGCTTTTAAAAGTAAAAAAAAAAGTCTCTGATGATCATGCGGCTCAGCTGAGATCATCAGAGGCTTTGAAAAGCATTTTTTTACAATCTCTTCAGCCGAAGAGGTTGTAGGGGAAAAAATGCCTTTCAAAGCCTCTGGTGATCCCAGCTGAGTTGTCTGATCGTCAGAGGCTTCTAAAAGCATTTTTTTCTGCAACCTCTTAATGACTTTTTATGTCATTGTTGTTTTTGTGTCAATTTTTAAATTTTCTTTGTTGACCTCCCCTCCTTAATCTTCTCTCTCCCTCCCTCCCCCCCCCATATATATATATACATACAGCCTCATGGAACCTACAAGCAAATACAAAGCTTTTCTCCTGTAAGTGCTGATAATCAAGGTATTTTGACTGTGCAGGCAACACGTCATGGCTTGTAAAACGTTTGATAACCACATTTTCATTGCCCCAGAAGCAAAATACCCTCTATCAAAAAGCAAACACTATAACCAGTTTGTGTTTATGCAGTTTTATTGTTCCTGTGTAAGGTGTATTTTGGCTGACGATGTCATTGCTTTCCTACTGTTGATTTTTACTTGTTAATTGTGTTGGAACTGTGGAGGATTGTGATAAAAGTTTTCTTTGTTTGCCTATCAATTTCTGCCAGGACTGACCTTGTCTTCTCCTTTGGTGAAGGTCCACATAGCATCTGTGGGTTGGAACAAACTTCTCCACTTCTGGAGAAGCCCTGGTGATCAGGCCTGGACACAGCCTGAAATGGCATTGGTCAAATTTGGAGAGTTTGGGATGGGAGGTGCTACAACTATTTTCCACCTCCAGGACTTTTCAGTGGCTTCTAATACATTCAACTATAGCATCCTTCTGGGCCAACTTCTGGAGTTGGGAGTGGGAGACAACCATGGAGAGAGAGAATTTTGCACACATTTGTCTGGTGCACCAATTGCTCCCCTTCCTGGACCGGGAGGCTCTGCTCATGGTCACTCAGGTCTTGGTCACCTCCTGTTTGGATGACTGCAGTGTGCTATCCATCAGGCTGCCCTTGAAGACTATCCAGAAGGTACAACTGGTCCAGAATGCAGCAATGCACAAAATGATAGTTTCTCCTAGATTGGGCCATGCAACCCCATGGTGGCATGAGTTGCTCTGCCTCCTAGTTTCCTTTCAGGTGCAACTCAAGGTGCTGGTTGTTACCTTTAAAGCCTTCTATGGCACTGAGCAAGGTTATCTAGATTAACAGATTAATAGAGTTGGAAGGTGCCTTGGAGGTCATCTAGTCCAACCCCCCACCCAAGCAGGAGACCCTACACCATTTCTGACAGAGGGCCGTCCAGTCTCTTCTTGAAAGCCTCCAGGGATGAAGCTCCCACAACTTCAAAAGGCAACTTCTGTTCCGTGGGTTGATTGCTCTCATTGTCAGAAAATTCCTCCTTATTTCCAGGTTGAATCTCTCCTTGGTCAGTTTCCATCCATTATCCCTTGTCTGGGCTTCAGGTGCCTTGGAAAACAGCTTGACCCCCTCCTCTCTCTGGCAGCCCTTCAAATATTGGAAGACTGCTCTCCTGTATCCCCTGGCCCTTCTCTTCACTAGCCTACCCAGGCCCAGTTCCTGCAACTGTTCTTCATGTGTTTTAGCCTCCAGTCCCCTCATCATCCAGGTTGCTCTCCTTTGCACTTTTTCTAGAGTCTCAATATCTTTTTTATAGGTGTGGTCTTATTAGGGCTTTATAGAGTGGTATTAGTACCTCCCTTGATCTTGATTGTATCCCTCTGTTAATGCACTTTAGGATTGCATTGGCTTTTTTGGCTTCCACCACACACTGCTGGCTCATATTTAGCTGGTTGTCCACTAAGACTTCAAAATCCCTCTCAGTCACTGCTATTAAACCTGGTTTCACCCAGTCTATATGTGTGGCTGTTGGTTTTTCTTACCTAAGTGTAGGACTTTACTTTTCTCTCCACTGAATTTCATTTTGTTAGATAGGTCCCAGTGTTCAAGTTTATGTTGATCTCTTCCTATAGACCTCAACCCATCCTATCAGTTAGGAGGGCAAATTCCTAGTCCCTTCCCTTAAACATTACATATTATGGACTCTAGAAAGTCTGGCTTTTTGCTG